TTCTCCAGTAACGAGAACTTTTATGAGATAATATTGAAGAGAGATGATTTTAATATGGTGTAAATGGTAGCTTGGGCAGCTTTAGGCGCAATGGGAACAAAAGCATTAGCATTTGGAGCAAAAGCACTTGGAGCTTATGACGCAGTAAATAAAATGAGTGGAGGAAGGGTTTCGAAGACATTAGATGCAAATAAAGGGAAGATTGGAGGCTGGGTTGTAAAGAAGTTAAGATTAAATAAAATCGGGCTCATAAATAAAGCATCCAATTTGGTTGCGACTGAGTCAGAAAATGCTTTAGGAAAGGACGATGAGTTTGCAAAACACGCAAAAGACTTTAATGACCAGATGAAAGGTGAAACAATGCATTTAAATAGAGTCGATGGAACTAAAGAAAATGTTTCTTCTCCACCAGCGGTTTATCCATACGGGCCTTATGGAATGTATGGAAACCCTTATGAACGACCATTTGACCCATTGACTGGTGGAAGTAACTGGTATCATTACGGACGAAGAAGAAAGACAGTTAAGCTGGAGACAGACGTGAAGAAAGCAACTAAAAAGAAACCAAGGAAGAGAGTTATAAAGCAATGAATTCAAGTGGGTGAAAAAAGAGGTGAAAAAAGAGGTGAGATCTCACCACTTCACCTAAATTTATTTTTGTGCTATGTTTTCATACGTGTGAGGGTGGTGATATCATTAATTTTTAAGTTTATTTTTAAGTTTATTTTTATTTTATTTGGATGTAATGACGAAAACTATTGAGATAACAAACTACAACGGTCATGAGTTCAAGAATTTGTTCTTCGTTCCTCGTGAAAATACATTCTATCAGATACGAGGGAGAAAGGGTAAAGTTAGTTTGAGCGTTTATGAAGGAATGAAGAATGGAAAGTTTATACAAGCATACGATACAAACGGTAAACGTGTTTCATTAGCTTTGTCAAAACTTACTAACATTTATTTTGACAGTGATTTTGACCTATATGAAGAAGAAAGTGAGTCAGAAGATTATGAGCTGTTATGTGAAGCACAGCAATGGGAGGAGTTGCAATACTTTTGTAAGTGAGAACGTTTATTTTTACATTAGTGAGGTGAAGTGGTTGGTGGCTTTGTAAATATTTAAGGTTAAGTTAGTGTTGTCGTTTGTGTTGTAAAATATACGTTAACGGTTTTGTAAAGTGTCAAATTCACATATAATGGGTAAGGTGGAACGCAGTGCCACAGTACACATGATATGTATACTAACTGTGTTTAGCACAAACCTGAATACTGCGAATAGAAATAAACAAGTTACATATATATAAAGTTTATTTAAATATAATCACCATTGGATTCAATCACGCGTTCGCAGCGATCGATCCAGGCTTGAAAGACACGCTTTAAATCATCATGAGAAAATTGCTCAAATTGCTCTCTTACAAAATTTTCAAGATCATCTGGACTCGCGAATTCGCGTCCTTCAGCTCTTTTTTAGCGTGCCGAATAAATAAAAGTCAGAGTGTGCAATATCAGGTGAATAAATTGGGTTTGGAACAACTTTGACATTGTTTTCCACCAAGTAATTCATTACCTTATGACTTTTGTGAACTCTTGAATTATCAAAATGAATTGCAAACTTTTGTTTTTGTTGTTTGGATTTCTCAAACTCATCAGAATTGATAATTTGAGTAAGAACATTGTCAATTAGATACTGAGCATTCATCGTATTAGGTTTTTGAAGAATATCAATTGCGATGATGCCATTCACGCCCCAAAAAACCGACAACATCATCATTGGTGTGTCAATTTTTTTCTTCGGGAATGTTTGCGGATTTTCATCCTTCGGGATCCACATGATTTTGGCTTCTGTTGCATATTGAAACCAAGACTCGTCCCTGTTACTAAAAAGCGAAACTTCTTGGATTGATACGCACCCAATATAGAGAGGAGCTCTTTCGAAAATTGGACTCTAGATTTTTTTTGAACTGAATTAAGGTTGTGCGGAACCCAACGTGTATACGTTTTGTAGTTCAAATAATTGTGCAGATAATAACTGACTGTTGTACGTGGTATCTTTGTCATCTCCTCTATCCTTCTGAGTGATGCTCTTGGGTCTTCATCTAGCGCTTGAAGAATTGCTTTGATTTTTCTTTGATCCGGCGATTTTTTGTCAATTTTTATGATGGGCGCCTTTTTGTTCATGAAGTGATACATCCTAACATGATACGTTACAGTGGAATAGCTAGGAGCATCCATACCGAAGCATTTTACCAATGTCTCGTAGATTTTTTTACAGTCTTTGCATTTTTTTGCAAGAGCGAGGATGTTTTCTTTATGATTCATTAAAAAAATGAAAAAAATCCCGCCAAAATTTCCCGCGAAACCGCCTCTTGTCTCAAAATTCATTTTATATCCCGGCATGGCGCCAAAATACAACATACTCATCATATACATATATTCATATTTTTTATTATATATTTATAATCAGCATATATCTCCTTTAATAGTCTCATATAGAGCGCTGTGCTAAACGCACCTTTGGACACCCTATATATTGCATGGGATAAAGTTGATGAACTTAAAAGTAAATTCCCAAATCTTGATATTAATCAGGAAAAAAATTATGAAATCACACTACTTGATTGTGCAATTAAATATGGATCAGAATTATGTTTCAATTACTTGAAAAGTTTAGGAGCTAAATACACAGATAACTCCGAAAAATACGCTGTTCAAGGCGGAAATAATAACATTTTTATGCAAATGATAGAAGATGGTAAAACATTTGATAAAATGATTGATACAGCATTGGATTATCGAAACTATGAAATTGCTGAGTATCTTAAATCAAATTTTAGACAAACTCCAAATCAAATAGCAGAAAGCATGTATTTCGGTAATTATGATGTTGTTTCGTATTTAATTTCTAATGGTGAAAATATTAATAAACTTTTATTTCTTTTTCTTTTCATATTTATCATTGCTTTATCACATTCTTCTTCTTTTCATATTTTTCATTGTTTAGTGGCATTCTTTTTCTTTTTATAATAATCATTGTTTTATGAAATTCTCTGTCTTTTAATATTTATCATTGATTTGTAGCATTCTTTTTCTTTTCATATTTATTGATGTTTTATACAATTCTCTTTCATTTAATATTTATCATTGTTTTATTACATTCACATTCTTTTCATATTAATCATTGTTTTATTATATTCTCTTTCTCTTCATAATTATCATAGTTTTATAGAATCCTCTTTCTTTTCATATATATCATTGTTTGATGAAATTCTTTTTCTTTTCATGTTTTTCATTTTTTATCTAATTCTCTCAATATTCATGATTCCCCTCTTAGTATTGCAATCAAAACAAATTCAGCAGAAATTGTCAAATTCTTTGTAGAACATGGTGCTAATGTTAATGAGACCTTAATTCTCTTTCTTTTGATATTTATCATTGCTTTATTTTTTTCTTCTTCTTTTCATATTCATTATTGTTTTATAACATTTTCTTTCTTTTCATATTTATTATTGTGTTATTTTTTCTTCTTCTTTTCATATTTATCATTCCTTTATATAATTCTATTTCTTTTCATATTTATTATTGTTTTATATAATTCTATTTCTTTTCATATTTCTCATTGTTTTATATAATTCTATTTCTTTTCATATTTCTCATTGTTTTATATAATTCTATTTCTTTTCATATTTCTCATTGTTTTATAGAATTCTCTTTCTTTTCATATTTATTATTGTTTTATCCCATTATCTTTCTTTTCATATTAATCATTGTTTTATAACATTTTCTTTCTTTTCATATTTATTATTGTTTTATTTTTTTCTTCTTCTTTTCATATTTATCATTGCTTTATACAATTCTATTTCTTTTCATATTTATCATTGTTTTATACAATTCTTTCAATATCCATGAATGCCCTCTTAGTATTGCAATCAAAATGAATTTAACAGAAATTATTGAATTCTTAGTTGAACATGGTGCAACTAATAGATTGGAAAATTGAGAGAAAGTGAGAGGAGTTTACACACTTCATCCACACGCGTCAAAAATTTGTCTTTTCGTGACACAACATAAGTGTCTGCTTTATTGCATAAAGAAATTTAAAGTTTATTACTCTCTAATTTGGTTTGATGGTTTAAAATCATCAAATATAAAGTGGAAACTCATATTTTTCTTTCAAGATTTACTGAGAAAATTTCTGATATTTATTCTAGCAAAGTCCAAGAATGCTCTCCATAATTTCCCCCAATAAACAAATTTTAGACTTATGGAAGTTGCTATAGATTACTTTCACATATACCATTCAAGAAAATATTCATTAAATCAATACTTAATTCAAGGTTAAATACTTTATCTATATAAAATTTAAGCACAAAATAAGTTATAAATATGACTATGATTGATTTTTAGATACAAATTTTGCCAAATTGAAATTATTCTCTGATTTTGGATTGTTGGATCTAATAACATTAATAACGAAATTACAAACAACAAATATTTGTATTACCAAAATATACTTTTTCATTAAATCGTGCACTATCAATTGCAATCTTTCTCATATCATATTCTTAAAATCTTTAAAATCTGATTCATTTGCATTAATGTTATTCTGTAAATTCGCATTTATCACAGCCGTGATTTCAAAAACTTCTTGACTCCATTATTATAGCAACGGCACAAAAGTGACGTATCAGATAGGAAAAAATTCTCCAGCTATATCACATTCAAACTTTTGTTAGGAAATTTACCATAAGCGGTTCATTGGCAAACAATTTTCATGATTATTATCATATATAATCATGTCATCAGTTTCAGTGCTTGTATTTACGAAAGATTTACAAGTACTCAAAAAAATTCCGAATAATAAATCTTATGATTTTTAAATTATATAAAGATAGATCTAAAAAGTTTATATGGAAAATTTTCAAACGATTATTTTTCATTCAAATTGATTCTATAATTTTTATGGAAAATTTTTAATTGTTATTTCATTTTTTTAATCAATGCAAGAACAATTTGATTCGAATGAATACAATTACTTTATTCAAGGTCATCGACGTAGAGTAAAGATTTCTAATCTTTATAATGATATTTCTTTAAACAGAAAAGATCCTCAAATTATCTTGAAGAATTTGAGCGAGATCATTGATATTGTCAAAGATTACTGGGACTTCTACACGGATTCATGTTTTTCTGCTAATCAAACAGAATTATTGTTCACATTTTTAAAAGATAAGGAATTATTGGACTCAGAACCGCAAATCAGAGATCTTACAATTTATATCTTATCGCATGGAGCCAGTGGATTGCTTTCTTCATTCAATTACGAAAATAAAATTACAAGTGTTGAAAATATCATGATTTTACTTGAAATCATTGCTAATCCACATAATAACAATGAAATGCAAAATGCTATAACTCTCTTGAAGTACATTATGAATTATACAACTAATAAACTTGGAAATGGATATATCGCAGATTACCTTGCAAAAAATGTAGATAAATTTTATCCATCAGTTATTTGTTTTATTGTTGAAAAACTCAGCCTCATTTCGGAGCAAGCAGCAGAGATCTTAGAAAACTATCTTTTGGGCTACATCATTGAACACCATGATATTATTGACGATTTCGTCCATGAACAACTTTCATATTCGTTGGCAGCCATTGCATATCTTCCAAAAGTTTCAGAAAATAATGTCCAAGTTTATGCATTTATGGAAGAATACTTACAATCAAATGATCCAGTATTTATTGATGCAGGATTAAAAGTTGCGCAAACATTAACTTTGAAAATTGAAACAATTAAAAATTCAATTTTGGGATTCTTGGATAGCCAAGTTTCATCAATTCTTATAAAAACTATTGGAATACTTATTGCAAATTCTGCAGTTTGGGAGAATGATGAAGAATGCTGTGACATCATCATTAATAAATTAAATGATTTGTTCAATTTCGGTAACGGAAAGGTCCAGAATATGTCAATTGATCTGATGACATGTGTAGATCCTAAAAGCTGCAGGATTACTGAAGATATTATTGATACTTTGATTGAAATGTTGGCGACAAATTCACGTAGATCCGATGAAATCTTAAAAATTCTTGTTAATTTTGCCTTTAATATAAGAAGAGGTACTATTGAATGTGATATTAATTTGGATGATTTTCAAAATAGAATTTGGGAAAATGAAACATATATTGATGAATTTGTAAAGCATTCACCAAATTCTCAAGGCGAATATCAGAAACTAATGACTATTCTTCAAGCTTGATGTTGAACTTTAATTTTGTTAAGTAATTTTATATGAGAATAAAAGATATGTTTTCAGAATATTTATTTTTTTAAATGTAAATATATTGGAATACCAATAACTTCAAATTGTTTTGGGCATTACGATTTCATTGAAAAAGGGACCCAAAAAAATTTGAATTGATGGGTATTATTTTATACTTTTTTTATATAAATCTCAATACTATCTTTTTTATATGTCATTTTAAAGGACAAGCCAGCATATTCATTGAAAAAATTATCTACTGCTCAAGATTGACGTGTATGATTCCGGATTTATAATGAATATTCATACTCGTTGAAAACCTGTTACCTATGAATATTAATGAGACACTCGTATAATAATTACCAATTTAGAAAAATGTATAAAAATCTATATTTATTTATAAAAGTTAATAAAAAATATTATTCAAGGAAAAATGGAAATTGTGAATCATCATTTGCTTCATTGTTTTGCTGTTGGTCCTGTTCTGGTTCTGCTTGTTGTTCTGTATTTTCATTTGTATATTTTGGAATCTTTTTTTCCTGAACAAAATCAGCAGAAACCTTTAGAGAACTCATTAATTGTATATTATTTTTATCAAATTCAGGGTCATGTCTGTTCAATCCTGAGAAGCGCACGATGAAATCAGCGACAGTACTCTGTGTAATGGAACTAGAAAGAAGCCTATCAACTAATTCAGGAACCTCAAAATCAGGTATTATATGTTTTTCAGTCAAAACTCTAACAAAGAAATCTTGATAATTCTTCAATTCAGCTTGGAAATTACCAATGCTGATTATCTTGTAGTAATAGTCATAAATGAATCTTGCCTGTCCTGTTATTGATATTCTCATTATTTCAAGGAACCAATGGTGTACAAAATATATTGAGTTTTCATCCTCAGGATCCATTGCTTCTCGGAAAACTTTTTCTCTATCATTAGCTCCGTAATTACAAATAGATAGTAAGATCATGAATAACAATTTATGAGCGGCAATTGATGTTTGAACATCCTCACTTTCCATGAAATGGAAAGCATACTCCACCATGTTCTTAAACAACTCAGGATGAATATTAATAATTTCTCCAATGTGATTATTATAATTAACAACAAATCTCAAGAAATAAATAATTTCCGGACGGCAAGAAATATCCACATTTTGAGTAATTGCGAAGTTAATGATATTGAAATACATGGATTCACTATTTTCATTAACATTCCATATTTCTTGGTTTGTGTATTTCGCGTAATAAACAATATTTCTTAGAAAAGTAAAAACAAAAGGAACAAAACATTGTGGATTAACTTCTGCGAAAATGTTGAATATATTTGGCAGGAAATCATTTCCAAGATGTTCCATTGTAGTTCTTGGTTCGAATGTCTTCAAAATCAGGTCTAAAACTCTGATACTTTTTTCAATCATTTTCTTAAAAAGTGACACCATATTTTCATCTTTTTGTTCTTGTTGTAAATACGAAGAAAAAGTTTGGAACAAAGTAGAAATAGAAGGAATAATGAATTCAAACAAATATTTAACCAATGGGTTAAGAGTATCAATTGGAAATCTATCATCATATTTTTCAAAAGTTTGTTTCAAAATTTGAATCATTTTGCTGTCATCTTCTCTTATGTCTTCAACTTCTGATTTTGGATTAACAAGAACTTCATAACAAAGGAATATATCGCATGCATGAATGAAAGACTGCATTGTTTCTGGATTCTCGTAATTTAATTGGTTAAAAGAATCAATTATATTTGTTTGAATATTTGAATAAATTCTTCCAAACAAATTTTCTTTTGTTTGTTTTATTTCTTCATAATATTCTGGAGTGTCCATTTCAACACCATAAGATCTATTTGAGCTTACTTGAGATGTCATCATCAAATAAATAGAACATGCAAATTTGACTAAAGAAAAGTGACAATTTTGTAAATTTTTATCCCAAATTTCGAAAAATTTTTCAGGTAAATCAGGAAGAATTGGAGGGATTGGTTCATCAGGCTTTTCTTCAATTTTAATAGTATTAGCAAATATCGGATAAGTAGTTGATATTGATTTCACATATGGCAGGAAATAACAAATCTTATTAAGGCATTCCGCTGCAACAGCATTTAATATTTCATCTTCTCTGTTGAACCATTCAAAAAATTTAAAAATTATGCCACGTAATAAATGCCTGTAATGTGCATCTCTTAAACGGTCAAAAATTTGGGAGAAGTAAAAACCACTTAAAGCACAAATCTGAGGATCTTCACTATCTAAAAGAGAAAGGAATAAATCCATAGTATTATCTATAATTTGATTCACAGATTTTAATAAATTTGCCTTGTCATTTTTTCCTAAAATTGAACAAATAGAAATTAAAGAAATCAAAGTTTTGATGTTTTCTTCCGGAGATTTTTCCCCTTCTGTTATTTCTACATACAAATGTCTAACGAAATCAACAACAAGTTCATCAGCCAATCTAAACAAATTACTAATAATATTCTCGTGTTGACAAAACAAAGAATTTTTGTCATCTGATGCGAAAGAAATGTTTTTTTCTTCGTCAATGCTAAAAGGAGAAGAAACTCCATGAGAAACAGAGTCAATGAGACTTGGAATTAAATCATGAATGATCTCATAGATAGTGGGTTTCTCTGTATTGCCTAATTTAATAATTACATTCATTATTAATCTGTCAAAGAATTTCAGAAAAACTAAATAAATTTCTTGTAAAGAATTGTCTTCTAAAAAGGCTTGAGAAACGAAGGAAAACAAAGTAGACATCTTCTGGATAACAAATGTTAATGTTGCTTTGAAATCATAAAAGGAGGTCTGAAAATCAGTGATTCTTGAGAAAAAAAGTGGAATTAAATTTGTATATATCTCATAAAAGTTTCTGTCTTGAAGAAGATCTTGTGGTTCACTGTTGTTATCTGGTAAATACTGGCAAATCGAATGAAATAGCTCTATATCTTTTGAACTTGGATTTGTATTGTAAATTAACAAAGATAATAAGCATCTGGTGAGAGGACCAAGTAAATATTGATAGTTCTGACTGAGATAGTCTGTAAGAGAGTCGATATCAATTGGAATATCTGTAATTTTGCAAATTTTTGAAATAAAATCGAAAGTTTCAACGAAAATTTCAAATGTGTCTTCATTAAGTTGCTGTCTAAGTATGAATATAAGGTAATCTTCATATATCTTACTGTTGGCGTTTATTTCGGCAATTTGTTGAATAGTAATAAAATTTCTGTAGTTTTCGTCATGAGAACGATTATAAAGTGCAATAGAAAGTGTTTTAAGTTCGTACATGGCAAATCTAATACGATGAACTTCATCTGGAGAAATTTCAAAATCTCTAAGTTTCGAAATGAAGTCGTTCCATGTATTTGGCCATTCTATTAGGGCTATATTCCCTAGTATATCAGATGTAAGTGATAAAATGTCTGTTGTTTGGTTTAAATTATTTATACAAAAATTGAAAAAGTTGTTTTTGAATGTTTTCGATGCAGCATCATTTGGATCCCATCCTTTTTGTATCTTGGCTTGAATGGCTTGTAATAAAATAACTAACTGATGTTCTTCCAATTCTTTTGTTAATAAATCATATGAAAACTTATAGAAATTCTTATCTTCTATGAACTGTTGGATACTCGCAGCTCCAGTTTCACTGTTTTCTGTAAAATCTTGGCATATTTTAGCCCATGTTTCAACAGTCATCGAATTCATCACTAAATTGAAGACTTTTTTTGACTAAAATTCATGTAATCAATACATTAGGATCAGCTAATTTCAGATGTATTGATATTTGACATGTTACCAATTTGTAATGAAAAATTTGAAAGCTTTACAAAAAAAATGAGTTTTATACCTCCACCAAACTTTGGTTATGTTGAACCTGATTTATATCGGTCTGCTGTACCAAGTGACATGAATTTTCCATTTCTACAGACTCTACATCTCAAAACAGTCATTTATTTATCATTAGATGCTCCCTCAGTACTATTTCTCGAATTTTTAAAGGAACATAATATAGAATTAAAGCAAATATCTGGTGCAGAAACAACTGGCTTCGCCCAAAGGGTTTCAGAACAATTAGTTTTAGATGCACTTCATTCATTACTAAATCCTAATGCTTATCCTATTATTGTTATGTGTAATTTAGGAAGACATAGAACTGGAACTGTTATTGGCTGCCTTAGACGTCTTCAAAAATGGAGTTTATCTGCCATTTTTGATGAATTTCGTAGATTTACAAATGCAAAATCTAGCCCTCAACATGAGCAATTTATAGAGTTGTTTGATACAGAATTAGTAGAAATACCAGAGAAAGTCGATCAATTACCTTTCAAGTTAATAAATACTGTGCAAAAAGCACCAGAAGAGCCTCCGCAAGTGCCTCAGAAAAGAATTAGTTTCAAGTTACCGCAAATGCCTCAAAAACTTTCAGGCTCTACTTTCTTTTAAAATTGTATTTTATTTCTTTTTTTATACAAATCACTATTTTCAATAACTCATATATTTATCATGAGAAATAACATAATTCTTGAAGTTGTTATGAAATATTACATAATTTGCCTTTAAGGGAGGCTTCCGACCAGAAAGCTCTCTCAATTTTTTGTGATGTTTACACCAAAAGTGAGATTCGTTAAGCGTTTTTCTCGTTGAATATTGAGTTTCCCGGATTTTGAGTTATTCATAAAGCTCCTCTATATTATACCCTATCTACTGATATGATTATTTTTGAAAAATCTCTTAAATCGACCTGCACTGAATTTTTTAGGGAAAATTCGAAATTTTCTAGGCGTTTTCTGTAACGTTTTTTACGGAATAAAATCCGAAAAATAATTTTTTGAAGAATCATTTGGGTAGAATACTTATCGAAAATTATATTTATTATAATTTTGGTCGATAAAAATAAGCGGATTCAAAACTGGCAAAAACCCTTTCGGCAATTTGTGGACGATTCCGAACCCCCTCATTTTTGAAATTTAATAAGAAAAATAGAATCTTTATTAAATATAGATTTTAAAAAACTTGGCTATAAATTACGAAATTTTCTCACTTGGGCTAAAAAGTGACAATTTGGTCGGAAGCCGCCCTTAAAATTAGTTTCTGTTGTGATTTATATGTATTGGGGGCGAGCATCATAAGAAAATTTTTTCGAAAAATAGGGGGTGTTAGTATACTCAACCCCCTCATTAATTATCGTTTCTAGAGGAATAGGAACAGAGGCCTTTTTTCAGGTAACCTTTAAGAAGTTTCCGAAAGAGTTTATGCTCATATAACCTCATTTCCAGGTAAATAGGGGGCATTGTTCTACTAAAAGTTTAGTTGCATACTGGCCTTGTTTCCTAAGAAACTTAATCAAGAGGCTATCTCAATAAGCCTTGACTAACAGGAATAGGATAAAGGAATATGCAATACTGAACTACCGTAATCTTAAAGCAATAACCGATAGACGCAAGCTCATCACTACTTGTTTGGTTGTTCAACGAATCTTTTTATATCACAGTACACCACGCGTATCTCATACCTCCATCCAATAGATGATTTACTCATAATTACATTTAAAACCCAAAAGTCGACTTTTTTTTTTGAAAATATTATTCAGATTCAACGAAAACTTTCATTCATGATACATCTATATAAAATCTTCCAAGATATAATTACTTATATTCACAAAAAATATCATTCTTTTTCTATATTTTGAACAAATTTATGCAACCATCATGATTTTCGTCCAGGAATCAAGTCTCATACCTCTATGTATATATGAAATCATATTTTTCCGTAGAATGCTACATTTTTATATTTTTTCCTAAATTTTAATTTTTTACTTCTTTTTAATTTCCTTTTATTAATAGCACACTATCTTCCAAGATGGATTTTCAATTTTTGCATCACAACTACATTGCTACATATTTTTTGCATAATAATTCTTATCCTTCTTTAAAATCCACTAGGCTAGTGCTCACATTAGTTTTATATATTTGAAAATACTTATAGCTTCTTAAATTCGCAATTGAATCTTATCTTTTGTCTGGTTATTCTCCAAATACAATTCAAAACACTCTTTGAATATTCTGATAAGCCATTCTCAGCTTACACATAGTAAACCAAATTCGACCACAATCATCTTTCAATATGTAATATTTATGGTAATACTTGAATTTTTATCTCATGAAACAAACTTTATTATGAAAGGCATATTTCAGATTTAAATTCACATCAAACTAATGCAAAATGTATCTTATTGACAAATCCAGACTTCAAGATATTTCATGAAATTTGATTTCCTTCAAATATTAGAATAACTATTTCAAATCAAACAAGCAAAATCATAAAGTAACAATATTGGTTTATTTGGCTCTGAAAATAATTGCAAATATTGATTAAATAAACAATTTAATATATTATTTTTCGAGCAAAGAGAATATTATTCAAGAAAATTAATAAATTTGACATCTACTATTAATTTTCACATATTTTTGAATGTATTATCTCAACGCAACAATACTATTGGATAAAAAATTCGGTATGTAATGGTTTTATTTGAAAAGCGTATGGGTATTATTTAAGATAATGTATATAAAATAAACGAAGTTACTTATAAATATGCTCGGAAGAAAGTATAATGCTGCATTAAAGAAGGTAGGCTAAAGAACCTAAAAGCATGTTTCGGTAATATTGATTACTTATTCCACAAGAGTGATGGTAAATCCTATTCCTGTTAGTCAAGGCTTATTGAGATAGCCTCTTGATTAAGTTTCTTAGGAAACAAGGCCAGTATGCAACTAAACTTTTAGTAGAACAATGCCCCCTATTTACCTGGAAATGAGGTTATATGAGCATAAACTCTTTCGGAAACTTCTTAAAGGTTACCTGAAAAAAGGCCTCTGTTCCTATTCCTCTAGAAACGATAATTAATGAGGGGGTTGAGTATACTAACACCCCCTATTTTTCGAAAAAATTTTCTTATGATGCTCGCCCCCATTAGTATAAGTCAGTGATTAATAAAATTGATGCGAAAGTATGTCTCTTATATCTAGCTTATTTATCAAAGAAATATATGGAATTTTTTATAATATCTGCTAATTTATAAATATCATATAATGCATTAGTTAATTTAATGATATAAGGATAAATCTATGAATACAAGAAGCTCAAACCACTGACATTCGATACTTCATTAATGGATTATGGATATCCATGATTAGTGTAGCGCGAATGGATCTATTGTATTGAAAATAAGAGCATAATAGTTTGTTTCCTACTAATATTTTTTTAAGGGTGGCTTCCGACCAAATTGTCACTTTTTAGCCCAAGTGAGAAAATTTCGTAATTTATAGCCAAGTTTTTTAAAATCTATATTTAATAAAGATTCTATTTTTCTTATTAAATTTCAAAAATGAGGGGGTTCGGAATCGTCCACAAATTGCCGAAAGGGTTTTTGCCAGTTTTGAATCCGCTTATTTTTATCGACCAAAATTATAATAAATATAATTTTCGATAAGTATTCTACCCAAATGATTCTTCAAAAAATTATTTTTTTTGATTTTTTTCCGTAAAAAACGTTACAGAAAACGCCTAGAAAATTTCGAATTTTCCCTAAAAAATTCAGTGCAGGTCGATTTAAGAGATTTTTCAAAAATAATCATATCAGTAGATAGGGTATAATATAGAGGAGCTTTATGAATAACTCAAAATCCGGGAAACTCAATATTCAACGAGAAAAACGCTTAACGAATCTCACTTTTGGTGTAAACATCACAAAAAATTGAGAGAGCTTTCTGGTCGGAAGCCTCCCTTAAATTGACAGTACTAAAACATGGAATGTAAAATATATCAAATTCTGTTGAAAATAATCGTCATTCTTGTTTATGAAATCATTTCAGCTTCCCTCTTTAGGTTTAAATCTTGGGCTTAATCTCTCCAACATCCCTGTTGGAAATGCGAAAAACGAGAGTCATATTGCCTATTTTTGTGTTCCTTATTCGAATCTTACTGAAGAAGAACTCGAAGAGTTAAAGGAGACTGCTGCAGAAAAGTTTGGTGAAGGTGTAACAGTTGTTCAGATATCCAAAATTCCAGAGCAGTATGCAATTATTCCCCCACAAAATGGAGAATCTGCCATCCCCAATCTTCAAACAATTGATGCTGCATATCAAGATGGTGAGCATCTACCAACATTTTTAGATCAATGCTTAACAGAGCAACAAGCACTTACAAGACAAATTGAACAATTAAATAGTGATTACGAGGCTCAACAGGCTGAAAAGATCCAATTACTAATTGAAAATGCTAAATTGGAAGAAAGAATCAAATATGAGCAAGAAAAACTGAATTCGATATCAAATTGGACCAAAAACGTCAAAGAGAAATATGATCAATATGCCTCCGACAATTAGATTGGCTTGTTACGTATAGGAGTGATATTATATTTGCTCAACTTCAAAAAATTAAAATATCAAATAATAAGAAACCCAAAATGCCAAATTACTTATTGATTTTCGAAATAAATATGTATGTTATGTCTAATGTATATTAAACTATCAACAAAAAAATCTTTCATAATTTTCCAGTCAAATGCATTAAGAAATAAGAAGTTTTGTATGAAACCTGTCAAGGATCATCAGAATGGCAACTTCTAAGCTTCAATTTTCAAGTAATGGAAATTTGGTCATATTTACTTAAACATCTATTATTGTTATATTGATAGGTGTTTTTAAATTAAAATTTCTTTATCTATTAGCAGATTACCAGTCTTTTATAGTAGATATATTAGTAGGTATTTAATATTATCTTTTATATGAGTTACAATTACTTTAATCCCTCAAACATATTCATGTCATACTACAATTTAAGGATTGCAATAAATGAATTTCAGAGCTCGAAATGAATGGTTTGAAATCACTTTTTTTTTTGATCTGAGAGTCTCAGGCAAACAAAGGCTAGTCAGATCAAAAAAATTGTCAGATGTTGTCATTTTTCATTTACCAATAATGAATGGGTATGTTCCTGAAGGCTACCAGCTGGTTTGGAATGATGAGTTTTCAAGCGGTTCTGAACTGAATCCCAATGATTGGAAACATAAAGTCACGCCCTCTGGATGGGTAAACAAAGAACTGCAAAATTATGTCAATGGAGAATACAATGGCAAACGGGTTACCGAGATTAAGGACGGAATGTTGCATGTTACAGCCTTTGAAGATAACAATAAAGTATATTCAGCCAGAGTATCTGCCCATCGTGAGCAAGGATGGCTATATGGATATTTCGAATCGCGAATAAAACTTCCAAAAGGTAAAGGCACATGGCCAGCATTTTGGATGATGCCATCTAACAATGACTATAAAACCAATCCATGGCCCAAATGTGGAGAAATAGACATTATGAAAGAGGTAGGTGTTTGTCCCAACGAAGTTGTGTCATCTATTCATTGTCAGGCACATAATCATTGTAATCGTACTCAGATAAGTATGAGAAAAAAACATTAAAACTGCAGAAACTAAATTCCATGTTTATGGTTGTGAATGGACAGCTGATGCTCTGAAATTCTATGTTGACGGCGAACTACTCATGTCCTATGAAAATGATGGGCAAAACAACCCAGATACTTGGCCTTTCAACAAACCATTCTATATTATTCTCAATCTTGCATGGGGCGGAAAATGGGGTGGCATGAAAGGCGTAGATCAATCAACTCTACCCGTAACGATGGAAGTCGATTATGTCAGAGTGTATCAAAAAGTTTAAGCAACTAGTTTATACATATAAATAACATGCCCCGTTTTTTCGTAATTCTTATAAAATCAGATTTGATCTAATTGATTATGTTTTTTTTTTCTAACCTGAGATCGATCAAGAGCAATTGCAAACATATTTTTGCTCGATTGAATCTCTGTTTATTTTCTTTGCTCAATATTTATACCAGTTTTAAAAGCTAAATTCTTTCAAAAAAAAAAATTAAAAAATCCAAAACTCGAATTTGGATGATCTTTTTGGATCATACAAATTAGCAACCCTACTCCTTCATAGTGCTGCAAATAGCATGATAATTATTGTTCCTTTTAATGACCATTTGATTTTGAATGTTCAATTTCTTGAATGTTACGAATTATTCAAGGTAGTTGATGACATTATGTCCTTTTCTTTGGAGTGCATAATCAAGAGGAGTTTTTGCTTCTTTATCTTTTGCATTTATTTCTGCACCATAAGAAAATAGAAGCTCTACTTCTTCCCTACGATCACACTCTGCTGCAAAATGAAGTGGAGGTTTTCCATTTTCGTCTTTTTCATTAATATTTGCACCAAGCAAAATAAGATAATATGCTAAACCATTAATACAGAGAGTTGCTGCATAGTGCAAAGCTGATCTTCCAAATTTATCTTTTGCATTTATATCTGCACCATAAGAAATTAGAAACTTCGCTGTTTCTAAACGATCAAATTCTGCTGCAAAATGAAGTGGAGTTTTTCCATTTTCGTCTTTTACATTAACATTTGCACCATGCAGGATGAGATATTCTATAAATCCTTTTTTACCATTTTTTGCTGCACAATGAAGAGTGGGCATCCCATTATTCACAGAAATAATATCTGCACCATGCAAAATAAGATATTCTATTGTTTCTTTGTTATCTGCATAATGAATAGGTGCCACTCCATCGTTGTCTTTTATATTGACATCTGCATTATGTAAAATTAAAAATTTCATCATTTCTTGATTATCATGATCTACTGCATAATGAAGAAGAGTTTTTCCAAAATTATCTCTTGCGTTAATATCTGCACCTTGTGAAATGAGAAATTTCAATAGATATTCCATAATGAAAAGCAGCCCTTATATAATCATCTTTTGAATTATTATCTCCAACATGAGAAATAAAACATTCCAACAATGCTTTATTATTGTTGAGCACGATATGATGAAATGCTATTCTTTTATATTCATCTTTCATGTTGATATCTTCATCACGTGAAATAAGAAATTCCAAAATTTCTTTATCATTACATTTTTCTGCTGCATAATGAAGAGCCTTTTTCCCATATTGATCTATAATGCTGATATCTGCACCATGTGAAATAATAAATTCCAAAATTTCTTTATCATTACATTTTTCTGCTGCATAATGAAGAGCTGTTTTCCCAAATTTATCTTGAATGTTGATATCTGCACCATGCTAAACAATAAGTTTAGCGATTTTTTGACATTTTTGTCTAAAGCATAATGGAGAGTAGTTTCCCCATAATAATATATCAAAATGTTGATATTTTCACCATTTGAGATAAGAATCTCGGCAGTCTCGAAACTATTATTAATTAATGCTACATAAAGGGGAGTTGATCCAAAATTATCGTGAGTATCTTTATCTGCACCATGAGAAAGAAGAAATTCTGCAATTTCTTTACTGTTTTTTTCTACTGCATAAAACAGAAGTGAATCAAGATTTATGTATTCTGGGATTTTACCTTCATTTTGTGAAAATGCAAACTTTACAGTTTCAATACATCCATAATTTATTGCATAATGAAGAAATTGTAAATCTAAAACTAGATAAGAATTATTCATAGATTCCTTCTTGATGATATCAAGTGACTGAGGAAATGCAGCACACCATGGAAAAATTAAATTTTTATCTTTCATGTACAGAAGAAATACTGCATTTAAATTTTGTGATTCAATGATACATTCATGATCAAAATAATCTTCAAAATCAAAATGATCTATATATACAATATTATCAGAGTAATCATCGTCACTACAGTAAGTTGATTCAACTTTAAAATTAGAGGTAAACATAACATTTTCTAGAATATATTCAAAGAATTGATTGTTGTGTGATACAATACTAGAATTCACGCAATATTTATCTATTTGCTGTTTCTTCAGGCATTCATTTATAATGTCAATGTTTCCTCCAAAAATAGAAGCTTTAAGACATTTTTCTGTAATTGCACATTCGGCGTTTGAAATGAGGAAAAAGAAAATGTTAACAGATCCAAAATAACAACAAGTTTCAAGTAATGATAATCGCTCCAATAGGGAGAATTCAAATCTGCAAAACATTAATAAATCTGTTATTGAATGATTGGAAACATATTCTTCGAAACAATCAATTTGGTCATGCATAATCATATAACTGATTTCACCTTCTTTCGGGAAGGAGGAAGCTTTTTCTTGTTTTAAGTTAAAAATATCGGATCTATCAAAAAAATCATCATTTTGATAAACAATTTCGGAATTTTTTTAATGAAAATTAAAATTGAAGAGATTAAATTAATCATTTCTTCAACAGATTCGTTCGATTTGATGTGAAAAAGTCTGTCATAAAATCCTATGAAATCTTGATACATTGCTAAAGACCCACAAGACATGACGAATCCTTAACAAAAAATGAAAAAATACCAAAGAGTGAACTTCCTCGATTGAAAAATTTCTTCCACATTTCTGAAAAAAATACCAAAAATGATTATCAAATTGTCTTGAATCTTTTAGAATACAATGCACAAAATGCCATATTAGACACTCATTATATTAGTTTTCATTAAAAATTAATTTACAAATATTGAACATGTCAATATCTACATTCAATATTATCATATTCTTTCTCTTTTTGAATAATATTGCTATTATTGATCCGAAAACATTTGGATATTCATATTTCAAGGATGAATTTTGAGTTGAAGATCCTTCAAGATTGCTCTGAGCTTCTTCAATAACGTCACTTGCTTTAAATATAAAGAATGAAACTTGTTTATCAAAAGATATAATTTATTATTATTAAAGATATCTATATGACTGAATTAATTATAAAAATTGTTAAATGAAAGCTTAATGTGACTTATATAGCATAACGTACCAACGTGAGTTAGTATATGTATCTAATATGCTTATACAGAATGAAAACTGATTTATCTCTTCAAAACACACAACATTTTTATCATTAGATAAAAAGTGACAAATTCGATGTCTATTGTTGACATTCATCCGAACTATGACCTTAGATTTCGTTTGTCACTCGGAGATGTTGTAAAATTAAAAGTTGTTGAAGGTGTTGTTTGGCTTTTTGGCTGGCAAATACCTCTTGAAACAGAATTAACATTTCGCGATGAATCTTTTACATTATCATCCTTTGTTCCTTCAAAAGTCATGCTTATCGAATCGGCAGTACCATATTATTCTGCAATGAGTCAAATTCCTAAAATTATCGAAAGACAATTACAAAAGGAAGTAATTATCATCGGCGGTTCAAAATCATCTGGCAAAACAACGCTTGCACGATGGATACTCAATACCAGATTTATCCAAGGCGTGAAAACCTTTTATGTCAATGCTGATACTTATCAAGCTCCATTTGCTACAAATGGCTGCATTGGATTAGCCTATATCGATAGACCTATCGATAATAATGGGTTCCAGCTTATTGATCCTATATTATTATACTTCGGACATAGTGATATCAAACAATCAAGAAAAACTTTATACGAAGGTCAATTGCTTCAAATCAGAGATAACATCCTCCATAAGTTAGAAGCACTGGAGAACCCACAAGACGTCTGTATCGTTATAGATTACCCTACAATCAGAGAACCATTCATGGGAGAGTCTTTGCAAGAAGTTATGAACATGTTTGGTGCTACTCACTTCGTTACTCTTGGTGACGATGCTTTAGGAGAGCTTGCTCCAAAGACATCTGATATTATTGTACAAAAACTTCCAGTTCTTCCTGGAGCTCTATACATAAACGAGACTATAAAGTCTAGGCTCGTCAATAAAGCAATTCGCGAGTACTTTTACGGTACTCCTGAATGTCCATTGAAACCAATCACCAAAACGATACAAAGAAGCGAGTTTGAAGCTTATAGTCTTGGTACTCTTAACTATATCTCAAAGATTATGCTTCCTTCCGGTGCAGATTCCCCAGATCCGAAAGTTTTGAACAAAATTGGCATAACGCAGATGTTAAACAAGAGAATACTAGCAGTTATACCACAAGTACCTCGCCCTGATGTGTGGAAGATGAATATTGTTGGATTTTACTGTTTGATTTCTGTTGATGAGATGAAAGAAGAAATTACTATCCTTGTCCCTTCAGAAGTACCTCCTCCAGAATCATACTTGGTCGCAGGAACAATAGAATTCAACGAAGTTTAATTTATTATAATTTTTTTGAAGCCAACAAAAATAATTAGGTAATTATATTCATTACATAATGTGATATATAATTAACTGAAATTTGGCTCTATTTTTTGTTATTGAATTATTTTTTGAAAATTTTTCTTGATTTTCAGAATTTTTAATGTTATGATTTAAAACTTATTTGTATTTACATCTTAATTTTGATTATTATTTTCTATTTTACAATTGTCACTTTTTGTAATATCAAAAATTCTAAAATGAGTAAAAAAGAACTTGGACAAGATGGAGAGCTTGCTGATTATGATGGCCAAGAGTGCGGCCGCGTAACACCATTCTCTTGCTATGTTCGTGTTATGACTTCTCGCCCTCCACATTTAATTCCACGCGATGAAAGGAAGAAACTTATCGATAGCTGGAAAAAATTAAAAGATTCATATAAGAAATATTATACAGAAATGGCAAATACGAAATGCGGCGGAAATTGGATAGAAGAGGATGTAAATGAGTTATTAGGATTCAAAAAGCCAAACAGACAGCAAAAAGGAAAAACTTACGGTTATCAACCATCATTTATCCCTTCAGGATATTCCGGAAGTGATGAACAATTTTTCAGCTTAGATGATCTCATACAAAGGATCGAATTAACACTCTTAATGTGCGCTAAAAAGACTTCTTTAGATATGGATAGATGGGATTTAGAAATTACACCGAAGCATGACGCTCTTTTCAAATGAAAGATAATCTCTTTGTTTTGAAAAGTCTTTCCTTCTAAAATTGATCTGTATTGTTATTGTAAATTACATAAATTCTAATAAAAAAAGAAATCTCGTGTTTATTAAAATACAATTTTTTATTTCTTGAATTTATAACTAAACCATTCAATAAAATCTCTATTCCATATGGGATTTATGTAATCAATATCTAATTTTTATGAATCTTATATGAACACAATTTATTGATTAAAATCGAGCATAACTACCATCAGTAATGAATAGAAATAGGTTATAGGATCTACCTCATAGGATATGATTTACTAGCTAACGAAAGATTATGATTTCGTTATTAGTCTATTGTTCTCTGATGGCGTTAACCATATGAAATAGATCACCTGTTTTGTAAGCATTCTTTGTGTGATAAGCTCAGAGCAATTAATTTCTATAAATAATCGTTTCTTGTTTTACCAAAAAAAAAATTAATGAAAGATCCACCAGATCCAGGAAAAGACGACAGGATCATAGATAGGAGAGAATTCAGGGCTCCTCCACCACCTCCTCCCCCTCCGAGACGTGAAGATCATGGTAGATATCCGATTGACCGCAGAAGAGACGATTCTAGAGATGATTATTACTCATCCAGAAGAGATAGAGACAGAGACTTCTATTCAAGTCGAGACAGAAGGGATCATGGACGAGGTTACAGTAGGTATGATGACCGAGATTATCGTAGAAGTGAAAGAGATTTTGGCGCATACGACCGTCATTCAGAATCATATGATTTACGTGATTCACGAAGCTTTAGAGAGAGAACTCCTATTGTTATTATCAATAATACATCGACAAGTACTTCATCAGACAATTTAACTGCTCCAACTCCTCCTTCTACAACAGTTCAGATCATAGACAACAGAACATCATCTAGCAAACCAGTTATAATCGAACGTCGTGGCCATTTCTTCCATGACGAACGCGAAGGATTACGTTTTCCGAGGGATGAATACGACACAAGCTCAGATCATACGCCAAATCCACCTCATCGTAGTTACTCGCCAAGGGTCATACCAGATGACTTAATCGCTCCTGTCCCTGCAAAGAAACAAGAACTAAATATGAAAATCTCAAGGGCACCACCATATTCTACATTCCTCCTCATTACCACCAAAGGATTCCTCCTCGGAATTTTCCTTGATCACTTTCTTTCAGAAAGTGGAACAATCGAAAGAATAAGCAGATTAAGTTACACGGCTTTGTTTGTCCAATTTAAGACACATACGATCACTTGCCATGCCTGGGGAAGAATGATCAGGAACAAAAAGTTCAATGTTCGCGTTAGACACTACGAATGCCAAATTGCGCCTGAACAATACGTGAACAGCTTGATCGCGACAAGAATCAAAGACGCAGAAACATTTTTCGATCCTCCAAAGATCCTTGTTCTCCACAATTTCGATAAAGATAGCGAAGCTGCCAATTTCTTCCAGCCATTCACCGATTTGGGGCTTACGAAATGGACCAAAGAAGGTGCTAATTACATTACTTATCATACAACGCTTGCTTCTTTCAAAGATTTCTATTCCGCGTTCAATGAAGGCAACGCAGGCCTTCCTAACACATATGTCACCGAGATTTTCAATACAGTCAAGCTCAAACAAGAGGTTTTCAACATCATTCGTAAGAAACTCATCGTTGAATGCATGCAAGACTGCAATCAGATGCTAATCGACGACGTTTACATACACACGCTTAACCGTGTTCGTTTTTACAATGAGAAGATTGCTCCTAACCTTAGCAATATCGTTAAGAGACCTTCGAAAACAGGAAAACTTCTTAATTTCGTTATGTCGAGGACACCGATCAACTTTAGGTTAAGTCCAGCCACTACAATACTTGATATCCTTAGCAAAGTCAAGAAAGTTACTAAGGAAAGAAAGGCTATTACGATGAAAAAGAATCCTGTCAAGTTCCAAGAGAAAATCAAGGAGAAAATGACAGAAAAACTCAAGACAATCGAGTCAATAAAGCAGCCGGACCTCTCTGGACCTTGCAGCAGATTATCTGCCATCCGACCAATTAAAGAAAGTCGAAAGCGCGAATATTTGAGAGCATACGCTAGAGCCAGACTTCAACCGCTGGTCGTTGCCCGCGATAGTGGCCTGAAAATCAGACAAACGCAATTCCCAGCTCCGAAACTCATGATGCAGAGAAGAGGAGCGGCCAATAACCAGATGAGAAGAGGTATCAACGGAAAGAGGGTCTATTTCGAGAAATCTACGATCCAAGGCTACGGATTATTCGCATTAGAGCCAATCTCCTCGGATTCTTTGATTTGCGAGTACAATGGCGAATTAATCAGGTCAAGGATCGCTGATTTAAGAGAAAAGCAGTACGAACAGCTCGGATTTCCGCATATGTTCTTATTCAGAATCGACAATGATACCGTTGTCGATGCCACAATGAGAGGTGGCAAGAGCAGATTCCTCAACCACAGTTGCCATCCAAATTGCAGATCAAAGATTATTAATGTCGGAAAAACTCAGACAATCTCCTTCTACGCCATCAGAAACATCAAGCCACACGATGAAATCACCTTCAACTACCAAATGGAGTTCGAAGATCGCTCTAAAAGAGAAAGATGTTATTGCGGCGCAAAACAATGCCTTGGATACCTCAACTACTGCGCGGATCCTGAGATCAGGAGGCAGAGAGAACACCAGGCATACTTGGAATGGCTTGAGGCTCAGGAAGACATGAAGAATCCAGATTTGTAACAAAAAAAATTTTTTTTGCCAATTTGTATTTTATATATTTATATAAAGAGATATTATTGATATTATGATAATCGTTAGTTAGTTCTTTTTTAAAAAAAAATACATAATCAGAAAACTTAAGGGTGCACTTACTACTTTCTGACATTCTCTCAATTTTTTTGACACACAAGCTTTCTATCCCAATGTTCTAAGGTCAAAAGTTAATATTTTTGGTCGAGAGAAAGTAAATATAAATCATTATATAGTACCTAATATAGCTGCTATACTTTTCTGCTATCAAAATAGAGATATATTAATTTTTTCATAGAATGTCAGAAAGTGGTAAGTGCACCCTTAATTTTTATTTTATTTTTTATTTTTAATTTAATTCATCTTCGAAAATATCAGAAAAAGAAAGAATAGTATCTTTTGTAAGAATATTATTCTTTCGCACCATGCGAAATAAGAAGTTCAACTGTTCCTTTATGATTCCATCTTGCTGCAATATGAAGTGGGGTGTCTCCATATTTATTTTTTTCATTGATATTCGCACCATGTGAAATAAGAACTTCAGCTGTTTCTTTAAAATTCCATCGTGCTGCAATATGAAGTGCAGTGTCTCCACATTTATTTTTTTCATTAATATTTGCACCATGCGAAATAAGAAGTTCAACTGTTTCTTTTTTATCCCATCCTGCTACAATATGAAGTATGGTGTCTCCATTTCCATTTTTTTCATTGATATTCGCACCATGCGAAATAAGAACTTCAATAATTTCTTTACTAATATTGCGTACTCCAATATGAAATACGGTGTCTCCATATTTACTTTTTTATTGATTTTCGCACCATGAGAAATGAAATATTCGCAAATGGATAGAAAATCAAACAATGAGGAAAAAAGAAAGCATTTGTTAATATCATTAGATTGATCGAAATAAACCAAAAATGATTCAAGATTTTGATAATACCCGCAAAGTGTTAAATTAATCTCTATATTGTACTCATTCATCAAGAATGTAACAAAATCAATGTTGTGTGAAATAATTGCATTTCTCATGCAATCCTGATTTGGTTTTTTATATTTCAAACATTCACTCATGATCTCTGGATTTCCTCCTAAAAATGATAATTCTAGACATGTATCAGTTATTTCTGAGTTAAATTTTGTTCTTAATAACTTGAAACAATCAACTGCTCCGTGGTAACAGCATAATTCAAGTAATGAATATCCATAAAAAGGATATTGATATAAACGGCTTTTAAGTGTTTGATCTTTATCAAATCCTTCTCTTTCAGTGAATGTAATGAATCTTTCTAAGTCATTATACATAATTGCTCTGTAAATTGTATTTTCTGTATGAATATCCAGATTTTCTGAGTTAAATTGATCGTAATCAATAGATTTGTCTAATTTAATTCCAGATTCTTTGTAAAATAGGATGCTTGAAATACTGCTGTCATTGTTGACCTCTGTGATATTGTAATCATCAGATATGAGTTTGGCAAGATATAAATATGGCTTTGTATAGCGATTGCTATATGGAATAATATTTAAAATGTCTCTTATAATATATGTAGGTTGAAATTTCTTTGAATCAATCAATTCTGTTTTGATCATTTTGTAAATTTGATTTAATTCTTCTTCATTTTGGGTTTTTAGCTGATATATTGCATTGTATGAGTCAATGTAGGATTTGAAGATACTTCGCAATTCACTGAATTTATTTGGATGAATGTCTTGATCAGACATAAAAAATTTTAAAAGTTATAAAATTGCATTTTACCATATAGGATACCCTTTAAATTCATTAGAAGGGGAAAATGTAATGTTATACATCCAGAAAACTATGACCACAAAGATTTTCGATTTAATTTATGAATTTTGCTTAAGTTCATAGACCTGAATGCAACAACAATGAAAAGTCGAAGGCAATAGGATTTTCATCCAGATACTTATATTAATATTTAAGATTTTTGAGTAGTAGATGCGAGCGGGGTGTGTGACTTTTTTTGTAAACGTAAGAATTCATACAATATTGAACGATTTTACATCATTAAAAATTAACATTAATTTTAAAATAATTTATTTTTTTATTCTTACATAAATGACCCAACAAGTAAAACCAGATAAAGTGGATAATAGAATTTTAGAGGATGGTGTTCCTGTTTACATTCAAAGATATAAAGGAAAACAATATTACAGAATTGTTAATCCTGAATATGTGAAACATTTATTTAAAAAGGAAGATTGTGAATTATTAAACGTTAATGATTATGAAAATGCAAAATCAAAACTGAGATATAAATATATTGGAAGTGATGAAAGATGCAAAGATAAAGATAAAGTTTATACAGTTTCATATAATGAATGGAAAACCGATAAGATTAGAAAACATTTAGGAGATTATGGGGAAAAATCTGAATTCTTTAAATCTAGTTTGTACGAGAGAGTAAAAGAAATTAGAAATAATTATCATTCATGAATGAAAAAAAATAAACGTAAGAATTCATACAATATTGAACGATTTTGTATCATTTTTTTTAACATATGAAGTAAAAAATGTATGACTCTTACGGTTTTTATTCTTACGTTTTTGAATAAATCAAGATTTAAAAAATTTTGTAATCGTAAGAATTCTCACATAATTGAATGATTTTTGAACATACTTCTGAATAGCAGATTTTAAAAATTTATGAATAATTTATAAAAAGTTTTTATTCCTACAATTCCTATATTACCATTAATAAAAAGAATATATTTTATAATAATTTCATTTCGAACATGTTAAAATTTATCTGCATTTTGAAAAATTTTATTATAAATGATAATATAATTTATTAAATTAATATATAACTTATGAATAATTTATTTTTTTTAATTCGTAAGAAAATGAGTGTCAAAACTAACGATGTTAGATATTCAGGATTCACAAATGAGGAAATAAAGGATATATTAGAGGAGGCAGGTTATGAAGTTAATAAATATTATTTAAGAAATTGTCAAAAATTCGCGGAGTTTTTAAATGAATTTGATTATGATGGAAAAATGAATAAAGATGATGTTATAAATTTCTTATATCCCACATCTAAAGAAAAAGAAAAACCTAAAGAACCTAATGTTTTCCCTGAATATTATGAAGAACGAATTAAAGATGATGAATATGATGAAATTGAAATTGAAAGACTGAAAAAAATAAGAGATGAAATAAATGAAAAAATTAAGGAATTAAGAGAAGTTGAAAAATATAATGAGAATGAAGTAGAGGGTTTAATGAATATCCCAGCTTCAGAATCAGAAGTTCAAAAATCACATGAGGAAAGATATAAAAATTACTTTTTGGAATCAACTAAAAATTTATTAGATGGTGATATTGACGAAACACTTTCAGAAGAAGGCACAAAATTTATTCATAAACATAAGCTTCAGTTTATTGACGATGGAGATTATCCATGTATATTACTTTCACCTCCTCTTGATTCTGAAAAATTCAAAAAAGCACTGAAAAATGTAACATATGCAACAAATACGATTAAGAAAGAAGACCATGATATTTACACAAATTATTATTTAAATAAATGTACAGGTGTTGATAAAGTTTTTGATTTGTTAGATAAAATATCAAAAGAAACAATTGGTACATATAAAATTTTATGTGATTGTGGTTTCATTGTTGAAGATACCGTTGATGTTTCATATGAAAGAACAGCTCCGAAGGAGGACGAAGTGGAAAGATCTATTCCATTCGTTATTAAGAACATAAAAGATATGAAAACCTATAAACATTATATTTATTCATTATTCATTTCAGAAAAAATGGAAGCAACACATAAATCATCTCGTCATCATTTCATAGCTATTCACACATTCCTTTTCAAAGTTGTGAAATTAAATAAGACAGGAATTAGATTTAATGTATCAGGTTACGCATTCTTGAGTAAATTAAAAAATGTATTCGTCACGTTGCAGATGATAAAAATTTGTGTGTTCTTAATTCATTTTATGGACTTTAGCCCTGGACTCTCTGAGTCTCGGACTTTAAAAAAATAAACTTTATTTTTTATTCTAATTTTTATTCTTACATAAATGAACAAAAACGGAACAGCTAAAATGAATGATAATCAAATAAGAGCCGAAGGTAGAAGGTTATTTAAACGCTTCTATAACATTCCTGATGGTGTTAATCCTAAAACTCGTAGAAGTTATTTAAATGAAGCAATAGATTCATATGAAGGGTTTGACATTTCATCAGAAAGTGAGAGATTAGCGAGAATGTTAAACGTTAATATTGATTTCTATTATTGTGATCCTCAACCAGAAGACGTAGACATTAACAAGGTAGACTTTCCATTAGTGGAATCAATAATGATAGATCCAGAATTTGAAACAGTAAATATTTTATTAACACAGAGTCCATGTGGAAAACTTCACGCTGACAGAATAACAGACGTTGAAGCACTCACAGGATATAAAGTTTGCCCCTTTTGCAAAGAAGAAGTATATTCTATCCGTGATGATCCAGAAAGGAAAAACCAAAGAAGATTTTTAAAACATTGTGAGAAATGTAAAGAAAATAATGGAAGATTAATTCAAGACGTACAATTGCAAAACACACAGCAACCATATGCACCACATATCACGAAACAGAAGATATATCAATGGCTATTAGCACATAATTTGCAGGAATATTATAAACCAACAAGATATTATATTACTTTTGACTTCGAAACATTAGAGACTAAAGAAGAACTTCAACTTTCTGAATGTGCAACTTTGAACGCTTACTTAAAACCATTTATGGTATCATCAACGGTTAAATTAAACGATAAAACATTTACGAGGAATTTTTGCTTAACATCAAGTGATTCGTTCATCTCTGATTGGATTGAATTTTTATTTTCAACCTGTTCATTAGTTGCTAAATCAAATATTGAACAATATGAAGAATTATTGAAGTCCCATACATTAAATGAGAAACAAAAGGGAGCAATGAAAGAGCTTTTAGATGAAGAATTTAATAAAGTGAATATCATTGGTTTTAATTCGGGAAAGTTTGATTTAAATTTAATTCTTCGTGATTTAAATACTGCAAAATGGAAGATAAAATCAATGCTGGGTTCTTCTTCTCAATTTAAGCAAGTCATAGTAAAGAAAACAAACTGTCCATATGAATTGAGATTTATTGACATCAGAAATTATATAGCGGGTGGAACATTAGACCAATTCACTCAAGATTTCGGAAACAATAAAACACGTGTTAAATCATTCTTCCCATATCAATTCATCACATGGGAGAATTACGAAGATGAATTATATAAAAAGGAACCATTCACTCAAGATTCATTTTATTCAGCATTAACACAAGAAACTATATCAGATAGTGATTATCAAATATATCTCAATGATGCTAAAAACTTTAAGAATAGATTAGAATATTTTATTCATTATTGCAATAAAGATGTTGAAATTATGATTGACCCAATTGATAAAATTATTGAAGAAACATTTGTTTATAAAATTGACATGCTCCATAATCTTTCATTATCATCTAATGCATCAATGATTCGTTACGCGTTAGCATATAAGAACTTCAATCCTAACGAAACATATCCAGAAGAAGAAAATGTGGAATCAAGTTTTGAATTAACGAAAAAGTATTGGAAATATAAAATTGAATCATATAAGAAACAAGATGAAAAGGCGAAAAGAGATACCAAAAACAATGTTTCAATGGATGACTATCAATATTTTCACGATTTAATCCTTTCATCTAAATGCAAAATGTGTGGTAAAGCGTTTACATATGCAAATAAACCAACATTGGATAGAATCGATAATGAAAAACCACATACTAAAGAAAATTGTCAGTTAATGTGTTGTTATTGCAATGTGGTAAAATCAAATAAAGATGAAGATGTTCAACGTTTAAGAATCAATTTAAGAAATTATGCATTAAAAAATAATTTACCAATGACTTTAGATTCAGTGGAAGCGTATCACATCCTCCGTAATGGAATTACTGGTGGTTTATCAAATGTTCAACATCGTGTTAATCTTAAAGGAATCACACACATTAATAAACTTTCATATAATCCAGAAACTAAAACAGTATCAAATGAGGACACTTCCAACATCATGACTCATTTCGTTGGTGTTGACTTTAATTCATTATATCCTTCATCATTTTCATCTAATCCCCATGATTTCATTCAATATACTGACCATAAAATGTATATGCCGGGAAGATTGAATGGTGTTATCATTTGTGATACAGCAACAAAGAAAGCAAAAGCACTGGGAATAATTAAGAAGAAAAATACTTTATTCGTGGCTGAAGTAAAGGGTCACATTGATGAAAAATACATTAATGATTACATAAACTTTTTACCGATAATAAGAAACTTAGATATTATCACAGATGAAAAAACAATTGGCAGTTTTATGTATAATTACATGAAATCAAACAATCTACCGGTTGACCAGAAACAGAGAAAATTAACTCAGTTAGCATCAACACACAACCAATATCAACCATTTTCTTCTTATTATCTTTGGTATCTAATAGACAGATTTCATTTTATCATCGATGATATTCAATCAATTTTAACATTTACGAAAAATACTTGTTTTAATGAATTTGCGAACAAATTTATGAACGAAAGACAAAAGGCTGAATTAGAAGGAAATAAAGGAAAAAGTTTATTTTGCAAAATTTCACTTAATGGATCATATGGTTACGATGCAATGAATACACAAAATTACGCAAAGACTAAAATAATGAATGCACAGAAGGCACGCGTTGCATGTATGTCAAATAAGTTTAAAAACATAAGAGAAATAGGTGAAGATACGTATCAAGTGATGCTCAAAGATAGATTTTATAGATGTGATACATGTTTACAAGAGGCATTTTTTACTTTAGATAATGCTAAATACTGGTATTTAGTTTTCATTTATGATTTTATGTATAAATGCATGAATGTTAATCGTTTTCATTTCATTGAAGGTGATACTGATTCATCATATTGGGCAATCGCTGGCGACCCAAATCTTCCTAACACTCAAGCATTTCAAGCAATTGTAACCGATAAACAATTTTATGATAAAAACATTTTCAAATTCGCACCTTTTGATTTCTTCTGTTTTGATGAGAAATTTAAACCTAAATTAAAGAATAAAGCTGAAGAAAAAGCACATGAGAAAAAATTATTGGGTTTAGCAATTGAGAAACAAGGTGATAACATGGTTGCTTTATGCCCTAAGTGTTATACATCATTCAACGGAATGATTGGTGAAGACTCCTTCAAAAAGATAGCACAAAAAATGAAAGGTATTAGTTTACGACAAAATAAGCAATTAACACCTAAAAATTATTTGGATATAATAAATGATAAAGTCATTTTCGATGGTCAAAATATTAATTTACAACTTAAAAATGGGTCAATGACTCGCTTAACAATCGGTAAGACTGCATTAACAGGGGCACACACTAAAGCTGTATGTTGTGAAAATGGATGTTGTATGCCATTTATTTAATGAAATGCCACAGAAGAGACAAAGAGGTGGGCACCCATAAAACATTGATTTTATTTTTATATAAATGAATAGCGCAGATTTAAAAAATTTAATTGATGATTTAGTATTTAATCAAAATTTTCTTACTTATTATGATTTAAAAGCATATCTTCAAAAACATGATGAAAATATAACGGGTGATGATATGGATGAATACTATCGGTATTATAAAAACGAAATTTTGAAATATCATGATAAAATAATTAAACGTTTAAGAGAGAACATTAAAGAAGGAAAATATTCAAAGGGAAAAAGTAAATCACAACTTAAACAGTTGAAAGATTTCAAAAATAAAGTATTAACTGAAAAAGATATTGATGAATTATATAAATTATATAATCCTGAGCCGCAAAAGCCAAAAGAGAAAAGTTTGGACGTTCAGCAGCTCATAAATGAAGCACAAGCTTTAATTTATGATTCATTAGTTAAAACATATTCAACCCGACTTTTAAATGAAGATCAACTTTTGGAATTCATCCTTCAACATAAACTCGAAGCGGGAAAGTATATCAAACCTTTATATACAGCATATTTAAAACAAATGAATAGAATACATCCAGAATTAATGAAGGGGAATGAAATCCAAAATCAAAGCAGATAAAATTAAACCACTTGCAACACCAAAACCTCCTTCAGTTAATCCTTCATCATTCACTTTATTATATCCATTTCAAACATTAAAGAAGCAAAAAGATTTTAAAAAGGATTTCAAGATATTAAATAAACCAATTGACCCAAAAATTCAACCGTTAAAGAAAAATTTAGTCGCCATCATTTGCACCTTCACCTTATTCATACGAAATCGATCATTGGAATATTCAAAAGGAAACGTTACTTATTTATTCGCCATTAACATTAACACTAGATATTTATATTGCATTCCGGTGAAAGGGAAAACAGAACAGGAAACAAGAAGAGCTATACAATACTTACTAGATCATGAAAGAGTAGATAATATCAGGGGTGATGGTGATAAAGGATTTCAGGCAACTATGATTCATTATTTCCCACAAATTAATTTTTACTTTTCATCCTCTCCATATACGTTTCATAATAAAATAGTTGATGCGGTAATGAGAACTCTTAGAGATGCGTTAGGGGTTAACGGTCAGATATACTGGGATGGAAATCATGACTCCATCATACAACAGTTAGTATATTATTACAATAATACATGGCATAGAACTATTAACATGAAACCAGTGGAAATGAAAAATGATATTTCAAAAGAATGGGAATATATTAGAAAGCAAATGGAAAGGTTAAATGATGTTAAACGTGAACAAATTAATTCGGGGCTCATGAATTTTAAACAAGGGGATAAAGTTTTGATTCATCTCGATTATGGAAAAACTGATAAATCAATGACAAAAAGAAGACGAAGATTTGACACAATAGCTGAATTTGTTAGATATATTAACGGCAATGCATTAGTTGAGGTTAACAATAAATTAATAGAAATTCCGATTTATTTTATTACTCCATTATATTTAAATAATATTTAATTTTTTTTATTTCGTAAGAAATGAGTGACAACAAAACAGTCAAGAGTCCAGACGATGAATATAAAAAGAAACTAAACAGAATTAAATCAAAAATATGCTATTACAAAAAGAAGCCGCAATGTGGTGAGGTTGAAAATGATGAAGAAATAATCGAAAAATTAGAAACTTATCGTTCAATCCTTAAACTGAGTGAAGCAAAAATAAAAGAATTTAATAGAATAAATAAATTGATTGGAAGAGATGAATTTAATAAAGATGAATTTTTAAACTCTATCCAAATTTAATTTTTATTCCTCTTTGACAACATCTCTCTTTCCATCATTACTGCATAACCACATTTTCTCAGTTTTAGTGGTTTGTTATTTTTAACATGTTCTCGCATCATTTTTATCATTTCCTCCCTTGTTATGATTCGTGGTAAATTTTGAGCTTGTGGGGTATTCATTTATGATAAAAATAAAAATTTAAATTATGTCGTTCTAAAGTTTTTGAAGAACTGAAGTGTGCCTATGTGCCCATGTGTGCCTAGGTCAATTAACTTCTCTGAAAAAGTGTGACAACATGACATTTTGACAACAGGGGTGAAAATTCATGTCTTACGTTTTTGAAGAACTGAAGTGTGCCTATGTGCCCATGTGTGCCTAGGTCAATTAACTTCTCTGAAAAAGTGTGACAACATGACATTTTGACAACAGGGGTGAAAATTCATGTCTTACGTTTTTGAAGAACTGAAGTGTGCCTATGTGCCCATGTGTGCCTAGGTCAATTAACTTCTCTGAAAAAGTGTGACAACATGACATTTTGACAACAGGGGTGAAAATTCATGTCTTACAAAAATAAAGTTAGTTTTAAAATTATTTTTATTTTTTTATTCCTATATAAATGACAGCAACAAACAACAACAGCAACTTTATCGTTTCTGATGAACAAGTTATTGATTCATTAGTTGAGGAATTAGTTGTGGCAGAAACTAAAACCCTCAACGAAAGAATGTTGGTGAAGACAGACTCGCAAACTTCAACGCTTTGAAATCAATTATAACGGATAATGAGATTAGAATTAATGAAAAGAATCAACCCAGAAGAACTGCTCAAAATGTTGCCAATTTCATTTTCGTAACTAATAACGTTTACCCTGTCAAAATTGAAGTTGGAGACAGAAGATATGTAGTTTTAAGGGTTAATGGTAAATTTAAGGGTCAATTTGATTACTTCAAGAATTTAATGGATTCATGCACAAAGGAATTTTATGATAATTTACTAACATATTTTATCAATTACGACCTTTCATCATTTAATGTACGAATTATACCAATGACTGAAGCCAAACAAGATTTAATGGAATTATCAACAAATCCTTTAGATGAATGGATAAATACACATTATGATGAATTGTGTGCAGGTATGACGTGTAAAAATGCTCTATTCTGCAAACCATCAGACATGAAAGACAAGAATTTTCAAATGAGCATTAAGGATAAATGTGATAAGAAACGAAGAAGAATAGACGGTAAACAGACGTGGTGTTATGTTTTGAAAGAAGAAATGAAAGGATTATATAAACAGGTTGAACTAAACGATAATGAGGATTCATTTACTGACGACGAAATACCTGTAAATGAAGCTTTATAAAGTATGATTTGAATTTATTTTTGCCTTCCTCCTTTCACCCCTGTTGTCAAAATGTCATGTTGTCACACTTTTTCAGAGAAGTTAATTGACCTAGGCACACATGGGCACATAGGCACACTGAAAAAAAATAATGAAAACATTAATATTATGGTTATGGTCTTCAGTTGTATAATTTCATTACTGAGGTATGCTGAATTGGAGCTCATGACTTTCAGTCCGTGCGAAACCATGCGTAAACTGTCATAAATGGAGGCATGTAATCTTTACTCTGTCCCGTCGTTTGTGTATATCCTGAAACATTATGTGTATGATTACCTGAACCCTGTGTATCGCTCCAGTAACAATTAATAGCAAATTTAACTTCATCTTTAACATCATACCCTTTACCTTTTATCATTCCGGACCAATCCCAATATCTATGCTTATGCCATCCTGCTTCAGTTGTGTTTAAATTAACGTAATGACTATGAGCAGGTAAATTTTCACCCGTAATTGTTTTACTTCCTCCTGTTTGTTTTGATGAGTTAGCACAATATAAGAAACGATCGATTATTTGTTGCCATGTACCAAAACCTAAAACACTTGCCGGATTTGTTGAATTCATTGATGTATATATTGAACCAATGGGGTAAATCATCTCAAGAATTGTATTTAATTTAGTATTAACGTATTCCTTATCTGCTTTCTTCTCTAACTCAGTATTAACGTATTCCTTATCTGCTTTCTTCTCTAACTCAGTATTAACGTATTCCTTATCTGCTTTCTTCTCTAACTCAGTATTAACGTATTCCTTATCTGCTTTCTTCTCTAATCCATTATGAATATTGAATTTATTATATAATATTGAAATCGTGTAAGAAGTTAAAATTGGTATTGTCATCAATATTAACATATTATTTTTGAAAATTGCTTTTTTAACATCTTGAAATTTTGTGATTTCAGACCAATTTTTTCCATCACTACTGATATTTACTAAATCACCACATCCAAAAGCAATGAAATACCCATCAATATAAAACAAATTTGTAAATCTATAATTTCGAGTAAATTTTGGAGTGAATGAATAAACCAATTCCCAACTTGAAAAATCTTGTGATAAATAAATATGTCTGTTATAACTTACAGGATATGAATACACCATACTACCTGAAACAAGAACACAAACATTTGAAGCATAACATAAAGCTTCAATGTCTCCATCAGCTTGAAAAATTTGTTCAAAACGAACAGATGGTATTGAATATGATCTATAAATTTTATCATTTTGTAGGATAAAATACATGTTGTTAATGTAATACCACTTACTTGTATAATCAATTTTCAAATCTGATGACATCATACTAAACATATAATAATTTATCCCATCCTCACTAATGAAAATTTGATTGTTTTCATAAATTAGTACCCATTTATTATTAACACATCTAATAGGATTATTTGGATATTTAAATTTAACATCTTGATTTAAATTACATTTGAACCATTGGATACAATCGAATGAATAACAAGGGCGAAAATCATTTACTCCATCCGTTATCATTCCCATAAATTTACCGTTATTATATTCAACATAAAAAATTCTTGGATTAATGATTGGCTCTCGTGTATCAGGATTCAAAACGGATGGAGTAAATGATTCATAGTTTTTAAAATCATTTGTTTTAAAATAATAAAGCGCTCCACCTATATAAAATAAATACATGGTCACTCCATCGAAACATAACCATTCAATATCTTCAAATGTTTTATCTGATGATTTCATAAAATTTAAAAATGGTGGGGTAAAATAAACCTCTGATTGTTTTATTTCTTCATTAACAAATGATATATCAGCTTTCTTTGCTAACTCAGTATTAATGAATGAAATAACTTTTTCCTTATCTGCCTTCTTCCCTAACTCATCATTAACATATGTTTTATCCGCTTTAAGGTCTAAACATCCTGAAACCCATCCTGTATCAGCTTTAGTTTTTAAAATCTTTGATGTCCGTTCATGATACCATTTAACCATTTCTTTAATTTCATTATCTTTTTCATCCACATATTCCTTATCTGTCCTCTTCCCTAACTCACTATCCACATATTCCTTATCTGCTTTCTTCATTATGTCGTTTAGGAAACCTTCTATGAATTCCTCATTTAAATTAAATCTTCCAATCTTCAAAACTTTAGGAAATGCATTTAATGCGTAATATCTCTGTTCTTCTGGTGGAATTGATGTTATATCATCCGTTATTCCTTTAATTTTTGAATTCATAAATAAAATTTCTTTTATATTTGATATCACCGCACCACCTTTGCAAACGAATTCGAAATGGTCATTTTTCAATACTATCTCCAAATCTCCATATATTCAACCTTTGTGTTTGTTCTGCCGTCTTTGAATTATATGCATATGGTATGTAATGGTTTGCCTTAAGTTGTTTGTTTGTTGTTTTTTAATCATTTATTACGATTTAAAAATAAATATTTAATCTGTTATCTCATCAGCTATTTTTTCTATTTGAAATTGCCATAATATTTCATTCATGAATTCTAAATCACAATCAAATAGGTCAGTTATTCTAAATTTAATATTTGATAAATCTTTTGAATGAAGAATAAATGAATTCCCGGATAATTGAAACGGATATGATAAAGAAAATGTGTTTAAGTTGATGGATAAAATGTTTTGTATTGATGGGTAAGAGTTAGGGTCTAATGTTTGATGTGAAAATCTCATTGGGGTATTAACTTTATCACATTTGATTAAAATGAAATTGGAACCAGTGTCAGAATACAAAACATCCCCAACATCTTTTTCAAAATTTAATATCCCCAACAATGAACGAAGATGAGGAGTACAAAATTTAATTTTCAGCGGAAATTTAATAAGGTTATTTATTTCATCAAGTTCAAAAAGTTTATCAGGTTTTGATTTAAAATTTTCTTCATACCATACGATAAATGATTCATTTAAATAACTTAAAATCATGTTAATATCCCATTTCGCTATCACATTATTTATATACATATCATACGTTTTTTCATGGTCATCTTTAATAAATGATATATAATCTGAAGGGTCTAAAAGAATGGGATTAAATTTACCACTCACAGAAACGAGAGTAACATTATAAATTCCACTAACTGTTAAATTTAATTCACAGTTATTATTCGAAATAATATTGATAATTGACATTTTTATTACGATTAAAAATATGGTAAAGCGTTATTTTCCAGTGATAAATAAAACTAGAATAAGATTACCTCAAGAATTCATAAATTCAACGAATAAGAAATTCATTCATGTTATAAATTTTAGTGTTTTCAGAAAATATGAGTCGATGTCATATTCATCAACAGGTTATATTTCACTTCATTCAAATTTAGTTCAATCAAACCCATATAATGACCATTTCATAAGATTTTCAGATGGTATTAAAAATGTAATTGATAGATTAAAATATGAACAGATTGACAATATCGAATTTTTGGAATTTTGGTTTAAATATCCCGATGGAAAAAAGATTGAAGTTAAAGATAAAGCTGATACTATAACAAAAACAATTACAATGACCGATCCAGATAGTGGGGAACAAAAAGAAATAAAACAAACGATAGAAACTGGTGAAAGGTCAATTATTATTGATTATGATTCAAAGGATTATTATTCGATAATGTTAATGCTTGAATATTAAATAGCCTTAACAAAGAATTTTTCAAGTGATATTTTATATTCATCAACTATTTTTATTATAAATATCATTATATGTTAAATGAAGTTCAGTTGTTGTTCCGTTCTTTGATATCTTAATTGTGCTAATATCCTTTATAGGATTTATTTTTGCAACTGTTCCGCAGCATGAAACCTCATCATCTATGAAAAATTGAATCTTAACGTCTGAATCTTGAACATCACAAAGAATGGCGATAATGTGAATTAATGATTCATAAGGTAAAATAATTAAACCGATTGGTCAATTAAATTTATTATTGAATCATAATTATTAATTATTATATCACGGTAAATTTTCATTAATTCAGAATTAATGTCTATTTTATATGGCGCATTGCGACTGGAATCGTAGATTCCTGGGTTTCATGTTTGGTGGGGGGTATGTTGGATAAGTGGGAATTTCAACAGGTTCTTTACCGGTTCAGATAAAATGATTGGGTCTCCATCTTCTTTATTTTGCTCCTCCTGGTAAGTCACGAGTTAATAAATTTGGTTGAGTTGCTGACCTTGTTAATTCAGGACTAACATTAACTTTAACATTTTGAATAATTCGTGATTTATCATCATTTACGTTATAACCAACCGTAATCTCTGCTTTTGCGTTTGTGTTCTTTTGACTTGTGAAACGTCTTCTCATTTATAATTGAATAAAAAAAAGAAAAATATATTTAAAGTTTTATTTAGTTGTTACGGTAATATCCCAAGGTTCATCCTTGTTTGCTTATACTTTCTTTGTAACTGCACCAATTATGTTATTGATATTGTTTGAGTTTCTTCCAGTCTTATTTTATCATTTACAATATCTTTAATCATTTCATTACATGCATTCTTAAAACCATCTGATTTTTCTAATTTACGTCTATCACTTTCTTTAATTAAATCAAAGTTATAACCTTGTTGAGAATAAAGTGGTTTCTTTATCAATTCCTTGAACGCTTCTGAAAGTGAAGATGAAGAAATTCTTGCCACTTGAATTGGTTTAAATTCTGCTTTCATTGCTTCTTTCTGTTCATTGAACACTGGATCGAATAAAGCAACTTTAAAGAATTTCTTAGCTGGAATTTCAGGTCTCAAATTTGCATATTGACCATCAAACTGGTTAACATATTGAGGTAATCCGGTCCTCTTCAATAGCATTTAATTCTTCATTGAAATAAGAATATGGATTATGACGGTATGAATAATTGGACCATTTTACTGTCTCCGATATGTTGTTTAACAGCTTTTCCATTTTCATCAAATTGCATAGGATAACGTTCATTATATGCTTTACGTTTAGGATAATCCGTCATTGTTAATTTATACCCATTTATGACTTTAATATTTCCTTGACCATCAGTAACAAAGACTTCATTTATACCATCAGGCTTTCCATTTGGTCCTGTAATGTCTGCTTCATGTGCTTCCCAATTTGGTCCATGACGTTTGGCATATGCTTGAGCTTCTGGTAATGTTAAAACGTTTCTCATTTGTTTAACATCCTTTTGAAGACCGGCAACAATGTGGACTAATTCTTTCATTCCGTCTGGAACTTTCATAGTTCTATTATATGCACCCTTTTTGTTTGTCCTTGTTTTAATGGAACCTGTAGAAGATTTGCTATTTCTGTCATGTTTAATTATAAATAAAAAATAAAAATTAATTATAAAAAGTTAATCAATTTAATTTAACTTTTTTAAATCAACTATTATTTTTCCATGTTCTCCTAATTGTTGATATTGTGTGTAAAGTTCATTAATGCTCATTGGTAAATTCACTTGATAAAGCATAACGTTCAACTGTTGACGACTAAAACCACTGAAAATGAAAAGGGTGGACAGGTTTGATTTAATGTTTGTGCTTAATGCTTTGAAGTATTGAACAGCCATAAAGAATGAACACTGAATATGTCGACATTGAGTTAATAATTGATTAAAATATGATTTCTCATTAGTTATTAGTTTTGATTTCACGGCATCATCTAGAAAAATTAGTGAATGCAAAAATTCTTTATCAAAATTTGAAATAGAAAGTGTTTCAAATAATTCATCCCTTGTTTATCAATAATTTTATCCTCTAATCCTTGCTTCTTGATTGTATTATATAATTCTTTATACATTAAAAAGTTTTTTAAATAATCTTCTGCTTCTTCTTGTGATAAATAAATAATTGGAATTTTGATTAAATGCTTTAAAGATTCAAATGTATCATCTGAAGGTGAACCTGAACGGTTGATATAAATTAACACATGTGAATAGGGGGAAGTGTTAGCAATAATGATAATTTGTTTTAATATCGTTAATGTTTTACCTTTATTTTGTTTACCAATTGCTGCAGTGATTGAATTTAAATAACATTCAGAATATGGAATTTTCATTAATTTTTCCTTAGATAGAGCATTTCTATTATCACTCAATGCTTCATTAATCATATCATCTATATGTATTATATACTCCTAATTCTTCAGAATTTAAATCCATTTAATCAAAAATAAATTTATAATTTTAAACATTTCTATTCATCAATATTTCATCATATGAACTTCTATACTGTGGTGGTGTACCTGTTGATGATATTTCAAACCTTCATCCGGTGTCCATGTCCAATATGTAGTCCTAGTAAACCAAACCTGAGGAGGATTTGTCACCTTTGAACAGTAAGTGTCATTTTCACCCTGAATGATTGGATAAGCTTTCACTTGTACTGTAACTTGTGAGTTGAAAGTTTCTAATCCATCAAAGAATATACCCGCTCCATCACGTTGAACTGGAATAGTGCATAAGAATGAAGTTTGGTCTTTCCATGTTCTAGCTAATGGCGTGCCATTATCATCATTCAGTGGTCTAGTTAATGAGTCCTCGTATTCTTCCGTGCATTCATTCACTCCATCTAAATCAGAAGCTTGAAGCATACGTGTAAAGAATATGTCACCCACTGTGGTCATCGCTTGATCGGGGAAGTTTCTGGAATCTATAGTGACCTGAAGACCTCGAAGCATTGGATTTTCTAAAACTGTTCTTTGCATTGCATTCTTCGGAAATGTTAACACAACATCTGTAACATTATGAAGAGCGTATGAGAAATCTGAGCTGATTTCAGGAGTGATGCAACCTCCATTTAGTGAACGAACGTCAATATGTTGAGCTGGAATCATGAATGGATCTTCCTTACTGAATAAACGTGGTATTGCTTTAACTGATTCTTCAATTAAACCATATCCTGGTGTAATGCATTTATCCTCTAAAACTTCCATCTTTGTGCATGAAATAATAACGTCTTCAACTGTTGCGTCAGCAGATGTAGCGGCTAAGCTTGTAATTAATTTGGCAGGAAGTCCGATTTGTTGGAATTTGCGATCATATTTATAAACATGATTCATAATCTTTTCATAATTTTCATCAGTTATCTTTTCATAAACGTAATTTTGTAAATCAGCAACTCTTAACGGGTCAACCTGACAAAATACTAAAGTATCCCTGAAAACATAATATTTAAGAATGATATCACCAAATGATTTAGGATAATCATCGAACGCCTGAAATGCTAACAAATCGTTTACCGGAATAATCATATCAAAAGTGACATCAACTTCTTCATTTGCTCTCTTGAAAACTTCCGAGGGGTCAATATATTTACCACATACTGAGTTATCATATTTTTGGACATTGTTATATAATGAATGAACAAACTTTTTAACTTTCCTTTCTGATTTTGGTTTATATGTTGCAAATGCGAAAGATTCACGGGCACAATCCATCTGAAGATAGCCGGCATCACCTCTTTCGGTTTCTACTTCTAATTGCTTAAAGTTTTGATTTGATGATTTATAACCAACGAATAAACGCATGCATTTAAAAGCGACATCACATGTGAAAGCTTTATTTGAAACTAAAGTTGCTTTAACTTTACGTTTAATATATGTGTCACCTAATTGGTTCACATCATGAGCCGGATTTGTAATTCTTAAATGAGTTTGTTTATCATCAAAATATGGAGCATCAGAGTCATAGCATGAACTTTCAAGTTCTCTATAATATCTTCTACCGTCATTCTTTGCGAATATTTCATTTATCTTTTCGAATGAATGAAACATTTCCATTAATCGGTTTAGTGTTTGGCACCAAATAGTTAGTCGTCATTTATGATGAAATAAAAAAATCAAAATTAAAAGATGAAAATGAATTTTTAATTTTAATGAAATAATCAAGTATGGCTGCAGGATTCTTTAAAAAGTTATGGGATAAAGTAAAAAGAGGAGCGCATAAAGTTTGGGAAACAATGAAGAAAGGAGCAAATTGGATATTTAAGAATAAAGAAGCAATTAGTGATGTTGCTGAATCAATAACACCAAAAGCTGCCCCAATAAGAGAAATATTAAATAAAGGAGAAAAAGTTTATCAAAGACTTCAACCGATACTAAGATAAAAATAATATTTATTTTTCCACTACTTTCCTCCTATTTTATTAAGTATTCCTTCAGCAATTCCACCAACTGCGTTACCTGCTTGTGCTCCCATCGCCGGATTACCTGCTTTAGTACCTAATACTCCACCTATGATAGTTCCTGCCGTTTTCGCTACTGGTGCCAAAAAGTTTGCAATGGGTTTAATAATTTTTTGATGAACCCAACGCCGCTTTCTTAATTCCTTCCCATAATTTTTTAAAGAATCCTGCCGCCATTTCTGATTTAATATTAATTAAAAAATATATTTCATCACTTATATTCTAATTTTTATTTAATGATAAATGAAACCATATTAAAAATAAATGAAAACAGAGGAGGAAGAAATAATGAAAGTGAAAATGTTCAAAAAAAAATAAACGTTGTTAAACCATTACTGAAATAAAAATTTTTTCATCTGTTGAAGAATTTAATGACTATTACGCGAAGAATAAAAAATTATTTGAAGAATTGACAACATGTAAATTGAATAAAATGTTTAAAGTTGATGGATTCAAAATTTCAAAAATAAAAGGTGTTGTTAGTTTAAAATCTATTCCTCAATCAAGAATCACCTCATTAATGAAAATTGATGATTTAACAAAAAGAATAGAAATTATTGAAGAAAGAATGAATCAAATAATTGATTTCATAAATCATAACTCGTTGAGCCCGGGTCCTTAAAGCCCAGGACTTAAAGTCCATCACTGAGTTCAAGGTTATATTCATCAAATATTTCATTATTAAATGCAACTTCTGCTAGTTTATTTATTTTTTCAATACGATCATTTGAAAGTCTATCGTTTAATTTTTTCTGAAGTTTTTCATTTTCTAGTTCTGAAACTTTATTTGGATGATATGTAAATTCATGAAATTCTTTGGCCTCGGTTTTGATCATTAATTTACAAAGAACTTTAGTGGTTGGAATTCGTTTAAACCATTTATCCTTAATATTTGTTATAAATTCAATATCTGGAATTAATTCCCAAATTTTTGCATTTTCAATTAATTTATTATCAAATGCAAAAGCAATGGGTTTAATATTAAACTTACCTTTATAATATAAACTTTCTACATAATCATCGAAATAAACATCTACTTGTTTAATATTTTCAAGAATTGGTGAAAGAACATCCATTAATTGATTGACGGTTACGAATCTTGATCCACTCATTTTCTTACGAATTAAAAAAATAAATTATTCAAAAATGTCAGAAGAAAATATTTAAATAAATTATTTAAATTTTTTTACTCTATTCAAGAATTTTATTTTTGATATAACTCATTGAATTCAAAATTTTTTAAAAAATTGACACCATATATAACCAGTAGAAATTCTGCCAGTAGAAGTTCTACCAGTAGAAACTTTACTAGTAGAAGTTCTGCCAGTATAAACTCTACCAGTAGAAGTTCTGCAAGTAGAAGTTCTGCCAGTATAAACTCTACCAGTAGAAGTTCTGCCAGTATAAACTCTACCAGTAGAAGTTCTGCTAAAGTGTTCAATTTTGAGGGAAACAGTAGAAGTTCTGCCAGTATAAACTCTACCAGTAGAAGTTCTGCCAGTATAAACTCTACCAGTAGAAGTTCTGCTAAAGTATTCAATTTTGAGGGAAACAGTAGAAGTTCTGCCAGTATAAACTCTACCAGTAGAAGTTCTGCCAGTAGAAGTTCTGCCAGTATAAACTCTACCAGTAGAAGTTCTGCCAGTATAAACTCTACCAGTAGAAGTTCTGCTAAAGTATTCATAAACACCTTTTTTATATCTTATTTACATCTAACATGCACCAATTTATTTTATAACTTTATTAATACTAAATTTTATTTCATACAAAAAGTAAAAATTCATAAGTTATATATTAATTTAATAAATTATATTATCATTTATAATAAAATTTTTTCAAAATGCAGATAAATTTTAACATGTTCGAAATGAAATTATTATAAAATATATTCTTTTATTAATGGTAATATAGGAATTGTAGGAATAAAAACTTTTTATAAATTATTCATAAATTTTTAAAATCTGCTATTCAGAAGTATGTTCAAAAATCATTCAATTATGTGAGAATTCTTACGATTACAAAATTTTTTAAATCTTGATTTATTCAAAAACGTAAGAATAAAAACCGTAAGAGTCATACATTTTTTACTTCATATGTTAAAAAAAATGATACAAAATCGTTCAATATTGTATGAATTCTTACGTTTATTTTTTTTCATTCATGAATGATAATTATTTCTAATTTCTTTTACTCTCTCGTACAAACTAGATTTAAAGAATTCAGATTTTTCCCCATAATCTCCTAAATGTTTTCTAATCTTATCGGTTTTCCATTCATTATATGAAACTGTATAAACTTTATCTTTATCTTTGCATCTTTCATCACTTCCAATATATTTATATCTCAGTTTTGATTTTGCATTTTCATAATCATTAACGTTTAATAATTCACAATCTTCCTTTTTAAATAAATGTTTCACATATTCAGGATTAACAATTCTGTAATATTGTTTTCCTTTATATCTTTGAATGTAAACAGGAACACCATCCTCTAAAATTCTATTATCCACTTTATCTGGTTTTACTTGTTGGGTCATTTATGTAAGAATAAAAAAATAAATTATTTTAAAATTAATGTTAATTTTTAATGATGTAAAATCGTTCAATATTGTATGAATTCTTACGTTTACAAAAAAAGTCACACACCCCGCTCGCATCTACTACTTTTTTGTCCAATCCACTCTAAATCAATTGATTCTTTAAATATTGATTAAAAGGTAAATTTGATTAATAATTGATAGAGGTTTTGACTTTGGTAAGGTTTTTCTTTCATGCAATGTGAAATAACCTTATTTTATTTTTTATGGGAAAAGTTTCACCAACGCTGCTCTCGCAGCTTTTAGATATTGAAAACTTTCCCAAATCGACAAGAAAGCTTCATTCTATCAATCCTGGATGGTTTTACATTCATTTTTTGAATGCAGTAAATAATTCATATCTCGAATCATTCGATTCACATCAATTATACTTTAGTCTTGCAAATAAAATCGAATATGGGTGGTATAAACACTACTTAAATGAAGAACAATCGAACTATTTACAAAATAAGAAAGATATTAAGTTATATTCAATTATTAAACCAAAATCACAACTCAGAAAAGTACTTGATATAGCTCCTGATGAGAGATATCTTATAGAAACCATTCCAGAATGGGCAGAAGAAAATAAAAATTACAAAGTTGAACATTTCGCAAGATCATTCTACACCGTAAGTGGAAATATCGATATCAATGCAGTATACGATGACCCTCGTGTTGCTTCCATTCGAAAATTCCCTTCTCGAAAATTAAAGAACAGATTTACAACAGGATACATTCAAACCAACGACAGAAACGTTACATTCGATAATGACGCCATTTCCTATGATCGTCCGCTTACAAGAAAAGGATTAAATGGAAAAGGCCAAGTTATTTCAGTTTTCGATACAGGAGTTGATTATTTACATCCATTTTTCTACGATCCCAATGTTAAACCTCCAGTTGGAACTGCAAACCCAGCCCATAGAAAAATTTTACAAATTGTCCCATGTGCGGACTCCAAAGACGTTTTACACGGCCATGGCACACACGTATGTGGCACCGCGCTTGGAGAAGCATATTGCGGCCCTGAATGTGGTCTCAGTCTTTACAATGGCGTTGCATCGAAATCCAAGTTAATTATGTACGATTTAGGCTTCTTCCACGACGGCAATGCCATGAACGGTGACTTCTCATTAGAGAACAGCTCAATAGATATCCAAGAACTCGGTAGTTACATCTCATCAAATTCTTGGGGCGTAGATGTTGACTGTGATGAGGTTACATGGGGCTATGACGTAATGAGTTACTTCCATCCTCACTTACTTTTTGTTTTTGCTGCAGGAAACTCAGGCGCTGCCCATGATCTTTCGTGTCCTTCAGATTCCAAATCAGTTTTGTCCGTTGGCTCTGTGGATAGACTCAAGCTTAGTTACATTCATGACTACAGTGCTCCCATCTACGCAGAACACAACTCTTCCCAAATTTCCGTGAATCAAATTTCGAATTCCAAAAATATTTTGTCATCATCAATCAATGATGGTGCGAAATACAGGATATACGAAAGAGAAATCGCTCCTGTAACAGACTGCAAAGACAAAGTAGTCATGATCAGTAGAAATGACTGCGAAACACTTCAAAAAGCTGTTGATGGAGGTGCAGCCGCAGTTATTATGAGTGGAGGAAACAGTTGCTCTGTTTCTTTATCAAATGTTATTGGTGTATACACATCCGAAGATAGTTTCAATGTTATCAAATCATGGGGAAGAGTAACTTTGACGAAAAGATCAGTGAGATCAGGAAATCAAGTCAAAGCTTCTTTCTCTTCTTATGGTCCTTCATTTTATTCATTAACTAAACCTGATATTTTAGTTCCAGGACAAACAGTTTATAGTTCAGACGGTGCTGTACATTATAGCGAGAACCCAACAGCAGCAACTGAATCAAGTTTAGTCACAAAGTCGGGAACATCAATGTCAACACCAGCTGCTGCAGGAATGGCTGCAATAATCAGACAGTTTTTCGTTGACAAATTCTATCCTTATTTCGAACAGAGAGATGACGGCGAAACATTCAATCCAACAAGCTATTTCGTACGCGCTTGCTTCATAACGTGCTCACAACCAATACAAGGTGCTTCATACCTTACTCCTGATACAGCATCTGGTTATGGAACTCCTGTTTTGAATGATTTACTTGGCGGAATTAACGGTTTGAGAGTTTGTGATGAACAACAGATTTTACCAGGAAAATCTAATAATTACAAGGTCAAAACGAACTCATCTAAGATACCTTTGGTTATTACTATGGCTTACTTGGATTATGTCCCTGATTTCCACGTAAGAAGGTCTTTGTTCGCTGACTTAGATTTGATTGTTCGTTCTCCTTCTGGAAAAATTTTCAAAGGAAATGGAAAAAGTGACAGTTTGAATACAAATGAAAGAGTTTACATTTCTGAGAACGAAGTAGAGGAAGGAGAGTATGATATTACAGTTCTTGCTAACAATTTCGCTGTAGACAAAGAGTTTACAAACATAAGTTACGCTTTGGTTGCTATGGGACCGATTTCCCAAGAAGATTTCGTTTCAAATCCTGTTTTCTTGACAAAAACAACAGAAAAACCGAAGATAGAATGCAGCAATGGTGTATTCAATGGCGATAAATGTGTTTGCAATGATGAATACACAGGAATGCTTTGTGACAAGAAGTTCCAAATCATTGAACCAGATAAAGACTACAGAGTCAATCCTGTTCTTTATAATATATATTATTATAGTGTTTCTATTAATGATAATTCGCATAGTTACACCCCTGAGCTTTCCATTGCAGTTCTTGAAAGAAATAGACCGAATATTAGTGTTGTCTTGAGTGCTTCGAAGTTCGACAACTTGTATGATGAAGGAGTAATGCATACAGCAGCAACTCGAACATCAAAGTTCAGTTTGGATAAGGAAATGTTTGGAGAAAATGCTTATTTAGCTTTGTATTCATCCAAGCAAAATACTCCATTCACTTTCAGAGTTTCTTTGAAGAAGTCATCATCACAACCTGAAACATCATCAACTGCTTCAAAGCCAACAAATATTCCTCCTACTCCTGAACAGATAGTAGATAAATCTCCAAGAACAGCTGCTCCAACATCAAAGGATGATTACCAGGAAGAAAAAGTTATCACACCAACAATCATAGCTTTGAGTTCAGCATTGATAATAATTGTATCAATAATCATCATTCTTTTGTTGTGGCCTGGAGTTTGCAGATGCGTCGATGGAGATGATTCTTCTATTGCTAAGAAATTGTTGAGGAATAGAAAGAAGATTCAGGATTTGAAGGAGAAATTGAATCCAAATCATGGAGAAATATCTGATACAGTAGATGCTATAGCTGTTTGATTAAAAATTTTAGAGATTTATTGATCAAATTGTGGATTATTTAATAACTCAATGGTGTTTTCTTTGTTTAATCTTATCAATTAATAAAATATACTAAAATATAATGTATAGTTAGTGTATTATCTCATGATCTTAAGTTTTGTCTCAGATTTAGAATTAAAAATTAAAATTAATGATATCTGCTCAAAACTTATAATTAAATTAATTTAAATTAATGTAAAGCCTGTGTAGCTCAACCGGATAGAGTATAAAACTCTTAATCTTGGGGTTGCGGGTTCGAGTCCCGTCACTTGCTCTTTTTTCTTTTTTTTTTCCTAAAGTTTTTGAAGGTTTCGTATCTTTACAATTGAGCTCTGATTCAAAGACCGTTCTAATGAATTTTCTTTTCTATATGACTAGATCGCTTCATATAGCAGAATCTAAGCAAAGTTAATAAAAATTTATCGAAAATATGGTATTAATCAGTTATTCTTGTAGATTACCACGAGTGTTGTCACTGGCAATGACTTTATGACCATTTCTTAGTTGTTGTTCACCTTGAGCAAAAATTCATGCATTGGACCATAAAATATTTGGTCTGAAATTAATAAACGGTCGTTTTTTACTAAGAAAAATTTTTTGCCAGCCTTGTAAATTAGCAAATTCAGAAAATGAGTGTTTTTGTCAATATTATTAACAAATGCCTTGAAGCCGATAAGAACGGACAAGATGTCTCCCATTATATATCAACATTTGCTGATATGATGGACGATTTCTTGCACATTCCAGAATTTATGAATCTTCCAGACAGTATCCTCTTTGAAGCAATTAAAACAACTAAATATCTCTTCTCCAAAATGGAAATGCTTTACCTTGTCGAATGTGTGGCCTATAAATACAAACGTGCAACATCTCAAGCCATCCAACCAATCAGAGATGCACCAGACGAGATCCCAGGAGAATACATTATTTCTACCATTGAAGGCTATTCTAACTGGGGAGAGAATCCTAAAGCAGAAATCCCAGAACCAGTAAATTCTCCAGAAGTTCCACCTCTGATTTACGAGTTGATCAAAAGCAGACAAGAAAGACGTATCTCACGCATCATTGAAGCTCAACAAGAGCAAGTTACTAAGTTAACTGAAGAAAGACAAGAAGCAATCAAAACTCTCAAGGAAGTTGATGCAGAAAAGCAAAAATGCAACGAAGAACTTACTGAAAATCTTAAGGAATTAGAAAAAGCGCACAAAGATGTCATGTCTCAGAAATCAGATAAATTAAATCAATTAACAGAAGATATCGCAGAAGCACAGCGTCGTATTGGCCAGAATATTACAGTAGATGATCATAAGAACCAAATGAAGGAAACAGCAGCCCACAACAAGGAAATTTTGGCAGATTTAAACCAAAGAATCCAGGTAGAAGTCGATAATTTAACAGATCTCATGGCTATTGTCAATGGTGGTAAGACAAGCCAGCAGTTACGCGAAGAAAAGGAGCAAAAGGAGAAAGAAGAATTAGAAAGAAAATTACATGAAGTTCCTGAACTTCTCAAGACGAAATTCACTCTACCAGCCAAGCCAATTACCATCAGAAACATCTATGGTCCGAAGGAAACAAAGCTTCCGAAAAATATCAAAACAATTTTCGACGCCATTGCTCTTGAAGACAGAGATGCCATTCATAGCATGTTAGAGAAGCGTCCAAACCTCGCAAAGGAACTCGGAGCCAACAGAACAACTCCTCTCCACGAAGCTGCAAAACATCGTATGGCAGACATCGCTGAATTGCTTATCCAGAACGGCGCTGATGTTAATGCAAAGGATATCAGCATGATGACACCATTACATTACGCTGGTATCACTGGTGACGAAAAAATTGTTGCAGTTTTGATTGAAAACCACGCAGTTCAGTCAATGAAGAACAAGAAGGGACAGAACGTCTTAGACCTTGTCCAAGATAGAGACACATCCCGCCAGAAACTATTCACTTTCTGCGAAAAAGGCGAAAAGAAAGGAATTGTCGACATTTTGAAGAAGTGGCCGGACATGGTTTCATACAATTTCGGAAAGGGAACAGGACCAATGCACTTGGCTGCTGCTTATGGACAGCCAGAAGTCATGGAATTGCTCCAACAATGGGGTGCTCACATTGAAACTAAGGATGATACACAGGAAACACCACTCCACTACGCTTGCAGATATAGAAAGGATAATGCAATTCAGTACTTGATCGACCACGGTGCTAATTACCACGCTTTATCTTCAATGAACATGATGCCATTTGATTTGTACCCAGAAAAGGGACCAGTAATCACTGAAGAAGAGGAAAAGGAAGAGGAAGAAGAAAAGCCAGTAGAAAAGAAGCCAGAGCCAAAGGTCGTTGAAGTTAAACCAGAAGAGGAAGAAAAGAAGCCTGTACCAGTCCATCCATTGGAAGATGTAATTGACTAAACCTTCTTTATTTGGTAATTTTACTTTTTATGCTATGATCAATGATATATATTCATAATTACAATGAAATCCTCAAGAAATACAAAATATTTTTTCGCAATTATACTATTTCCTAGAATTTCCAAAAGAAAATGTTTTGACATTAGTAATATAATCTATTTACCCTATGGTTAAAAATGAAAAATTTCCAAAAAAATTTCGAAATTTTATTTTTGATTTGAAATTTCCTAGATATTTTCATCATTTTTCGATTTTTCGAATTTTTTTGGAAAAATTACATCTACAAATATAGATTAAAATACCCCTTAAACTCAAATAATTTGCAAATATATCGCAAATATGCTAATATATATAAATTTGAAATAATATTCGTTTATCCTTGAAGATTCAAGAAAATTATCGTATAAAAACATAACAATAAAACATTTCTAGAGCAGTTGATATGATTGTATTGTGATAAAAAAGAGTCTATGTTGAAAATATGTAGTCATTTCGATCAAAAATGGGTTTAATTCATGTTCAAGTACAATGAATATAATTAAATAGGAAAATTATAAATTGTTCATGCATTAATATTCATCAACTCCGTTTAATATTAGGAAAGATCAAAAAACCATAACTCAATTATTTGTTTAAATACACAGAAACTTGATACATATCCTAAATTTCACATCCATATTAACCAAACTCTTTTCTATTGTCTAAAAAAATTTACCCTTTTGAAGAAAATTGCCCAAGGTTCGTTATTTGGATGTATCGAACTGTTTTATCTTCTCTTTCCGACCCCAATGGAGCTGGAAAGGGAAATAATGCACAGAACGATCCACACAAGCGTAAATATGTTAATCCTTTTTCAGAAGCACTTCACCAAGAAGTTCCAGATTATAAATCTTTAGGAATCTTCATCACAGAACCACTTCAAGTGCCAAAAGCAATTTTATTCACCCCATACAAAGGAAAACCAATCGATGTTATTGCAGAATTAAAGCGCAGAGGTATCGATTTATCAAAACCCAGTAATTTATGGGATACCAATATTCAATTCCAATCTTTTCTCGATATTAAGTACTTCGAGGATACCATGCTCTCCCCATTACAGCCTGAAATGATGCTGGGAATGCTAAAAGAAGTTCCTCCACAGGCGTTTCGTTTTTATAAGGGAGTTTGCATGCTCGAATACGTTACTGACATTGCGTACCAGCAGTCTACTGGATTATACAACGTCCGTTTTCGCGATGGAAAGAGTTCATTGCTTTCTCCGTTATTTGTGCTCTTCCCGTTTGAGGACCCAGTAGCATTTGTTGATCGCTTAGAGCGCGCCTTCGCTCTTCGTCGTCTTGAAGAATCTTGGTTCAGATATTGGTTATACGTTAAGAATATTCCATCTGATGATCTTCAGTCACTTACGCAGAGCGACAGAAATAGATTACTTACGACTATTACGAAATCTCCAAAATTCAAGCTTTTCGCGAAAAATGGAAGTAAATACGAATTCAGCAAGAAAATACTTGACGAAGTTGATACTCAAATGAAAATGGTCACCAACTCTATAATATTCAATATGAGAATTCTTTCAAATCCTTTACTTTATCGTGGATTAAACCTTCCATTACCGAGATTACCAGGATCCATCGAAGAAATACCAACACCATCGACAGAAGGTGATTTAATCATCAAGGAGAAGATCAAAACTATCCAAGGAATCCATCTTTTTACAAATGATTGGTTTGTTAACGCTGCTCCAATCATTGTTTCATGGTGCTTGGATATTTCCAACAGCTGCTTGTTTAATACCATTTGCCCGCAAGCTTTGCCTCTTGATCAATGGCAAAGACACCACAGAAATTACGAAAAGAATATGATAAGCAAAGCAAGAATGAAATTCATTTCTCAAGTATCAACAATTATATTCGATGTTATTAGAAATATCAAACCACCGTATTCCCTTACAGAATTCAACAAAGCAATTTATCTGGAATCTCCTTTAGGCAGATTCATCGGCCTTTGCAATCAAATCATTCAAAGCCATCTAGTCGATTTTATTCTCAACTCAATTTACTGGTTCGACCAATACGTTAAAGAAAAATCTCCAACACAAGTAAATGTCGTCGATTTCAGGAAAGTTGAGAACATTTTCCCTACAAACGAAGAACATACCCCGATATTTACAGTTTTCCTCGAATGTGTTGAGGGAGAAGTCAAGTTCCAGCCACAATTAGATTATTTCGTTTCCGCCGTTAACGAAGAGATCGAATACGCTATATCTTCTTTCGAAGACTTCCAGAAGATCGAAACATCTGTCCTTAAGGCTATGATGTGGACCCCTGTTCCTGTTTACATTTTGCCAGATCTTGAATCTAAGGAAGTGGTCGGACTCAAGAATTCAATTAAGTCGATGATTGACGAGTCTATTAAGCATATGAACGAATACGTTAGCTCTCTTTCGATCTTTGATGAACTTCTCAAAGGATCTGCAACGGATTTCGCAAACAAGCTTAAGGATTCGGAAGCCGACCTCGACAAAGTCAAAGATGCAATTGCTAAAGTCGAAAGCCAACAGAAGGAATTGCATCTTAACTTTCCATTCAAAATTACAATCGGATTATTCAGAATTGACCTCACGAATATCCGAAAGACCTTACACCAGAAACTCAGCGAGCGCCGCTTAGCACTTCTCCAGCTCCTTCTTTCAGTTTCCCACCAACAAATGAAAGATATCCAGAAATCATACGAAAACATATGGTCGAAACTACTTGAAGAACCGAAGACAATTGAAGCCCTTGTCAGCCAGCGCGATTTCATCGACAATTTGAACAAGAAGCTTGCAGATCTCAAAAAACAATTTGGAGAAGTCCTCAAATACCTGGACACCGTTGAAGATATGTATGTTTCCATACCTGATGAGCAAGATTCTCTCAGATGGGAACTCGTTGGCTACGAAAAGAAGATTTTGACCAAATCCACAGAAGTTTCCAACGCTCTCAAGGTAAACAAGGTCAAACTACAAAAGGCATTGCAATGCGATACAATGATGCTCACTTCCCAGATCACTTCCATCACATCTGCAATTGCAGGTGTATTCGCATTCAACGACATAAACCAACACATGTCTTATGTAGCGAGAGTCAGAGGTATCCAAACCAAATTGGACGAAGCACTCGAAAAGGCCGAGCTTTACAATATGAGAGAAAAACTCTGTGACATGGAAATTTCGAATTATTCTCAACTGAAATCACAACAAGATGCATTTGCTCCTTATAAAATGTTCTGGGAAGCTATTTCTAATTGGAAGACATCAGTTGACAAATGGAGAAAAGTACCTTTGAGTCAACTCAACGCTGCAGATGTTGAATCACAGTTCGCAGGAATTCAACAACAATTAGTACAATCATCTCGTGTCATCACTGACAAAGAAATCCTTGCAATTGGTCAGGCAACGAGAGCCGAAATGGACGGATTCAAGAAGTTCCTGCCGATATTCTCTATCATGCTCAATCCTGGTATGACGGACAAGCACTGGAAACAGTTGTGCGACCTTGTTGGAGCAAATATTACTTTGACACCAACAATGACACTTCAAAATACGATAGAACTTAAATTGGCCGACCACATAGCCAATGCACAAGAGATTTCCACAGCTGCAACTAACGAGCACAACATCAAGACATCGTTGAAGAAGATTGCAGACCAATGGGGAGAAACTGTTTTGGATATCACGAATTACAAAGAAACAGATTGGTTGATTCTTCATACATGCGAAGATATTATCAACCAATTGGATGAGAACTTGATTACTTTACAAGCCATCAACTTCTCACAGTACAAAGCTCCTTTCGAAGAAGAAATTACTTCATGGACAACTGGTTTGCAATTGACATTACATGTCATTGAAAAATGGTTGGAATGTCAGGCGAAATATCTCTATTTGGCACCAATTTTCTCATCAAAAGATATCTGCCATCAGTTGCCAAATGAAGGTATTCGCTTCCAAAAGATCGCAGAAGACTGGGATACATCTCTTAAGAAGGCAAAAGAAATACAGAACGCTTACAAGTTCTGTAATGATAATGATTTATTCCAGTTCTTCAAGAAAGCGTTAGTTGAACTCGAATCAATCGAAAGAGCATTGATTGAGTATTTGGAAACAAAGAGAACAGCATTCCCTCGTTTCTACTTCTTGTCAAACGAAGAACTCCTCAAGATTTTGTCACAAACAACATCTCCTTCTGCTGTTCAACCTTATCTCAAACGTTGCTTCGAAAACATTGGCTCAATCACCTTCAAAGGAACAGATTGCGTCACAGAGATGATCTCTATCGAAGGCGAAAGAGTTCCATTCTCGAAGCCAACGAATTTAACAGGATCAGTTGAACACTGGATGCTTGATGTCGAAGGCGAAATGAGAAACACACTCGAGAAAATCATGGAACAAGCTGTTACAGAATATCCAACAAGACCAAGAACAGAATGGATCGATATTTGGCCAGCGCAAATCACTATTGCTGTTTTCCAAATCATGTGGACAACAGCTGTAGAAAATGCCATCAAAGGAAAATCTCTCAAACAATTGTACGAAACAATTTTCGGACAATTACTTGAACTGGCTAAACTCACAACAACAAACTTAACTGATATCGCAAGAGTTGCTGTTTCATCACTGATTGTCATGGAAATGCACAACAGAGATGTCGTCAGAAAACTCGCAGATCAAAACATATCCGATATCAACCAATTCGAATGGATATCACAGTTAAGACAATATTTCGTAAATGGATACGATGTTATTCGAATGGTTAATGCTGAATTCAGATACGGATATGAATATCTAGGTTCAACACCACGTCTTGTTATCACTCCTCTTACAGATAGATGCTATTTAACACTTCTAACTGCTTTGGACATGCAGATGGGTGGTGCTCCTCAAGGTCCTGCAGGTACAGGTAAAACAGAAACAACTAAAGATCTCGCAAAAGTTGTTGCTAAACAATGCGTCGTATTTAACTGTTCTGAAGGTTTGGATTACTTGCAAATGGGTACTTTCTTCACAGGTCTTTCTTCTTGCGGCGCTTGGGCTTGCTTCGATGAATTCAACCGTATTGATATCGAAGTTCTTTCTGTTATCGCTCAGCAAATTGCTACAATTCAAGCGGCCATTCAACAACATAAACATCACTTCACTTTTGAAGGTCGTGAAGTCAGATTAAATCCAACATGTGCTATTTTCATCACAATGAACCCAGGTTACGCGGGACGTACAGAACTTCCTGATAACTTGAAAGCTTTGTTCAGACCAGTTGCTATGATGGTTCCTGATTACACAATGATTGCAGAAATTCTTTTGTATTCTTTCGGTTTCGAAACCGCCAAATCTTTGGCTGTCAAAATCACTTCCACCTTCAGATTGTCATCAGAACAGCTTTCCAACCAGTCCCACTACGATTTCGGTATGCGTGCTGTTAAGACAGTTATTAATACTGCTGGTAATTTGCTCCAAAGAGAGAAAGATCTTTCCGAACAATTAATTATTTTGAGAGCTTTGAAAGATGTAAACGTTCCAAAGTTTACACGTCAAGACTTGCCATTGTTCAACAACATTATCTCAGATCTGTTCCCGAATGTCCAGGAGAAGCATTTGGATTACACAAACCTCATTGCTGCAATCAGAGAAGTCTGCAAGAAGAAGAAACTGAAAGATTCAATGATAGACAAAGCTATCGAACTTTACGAAACCGTCGGAGTTCGTCATGGTGTTATGTTGGTTGGTCCAGCCGGATGTGGTAAGACAGTCTGCTACGAAACACTTGCAGAAGCATTAACAATTCTTTCCAAAGACAACCAACAATATTCACCTGTTCAACCAACAATTATCAATCCAAAGTCAATTACTTTAGGCCAATTGTACGGTGATTTCGATCCGCACAGCCACGATTTCACAGATGGTTTACTTGCTGATGCTGTTAGATTCGCATCTGCCGAGCCACCGCCTGTACATCATTGGATTGTCTTGGATGGTCCTGTCGATGCTTTGTGGATTGAAAACATGAACACAGTTCTCGATGATAACAAGAAACTTTGCTTGTCATCATCAGAAGTCATTCCTTTGACACCGAGAATGAGAATGTTCTTCGAAGTAGAAGATCTAAAGGTCGCTTCCCCAGCTACAGTTTCTCGTTGTGGTATGGTTTACATCGAAAACAAGATCCACGATTACGAGAGTCTTTTGTACACATGGTTATTGAATCATGAAGACAAGAGAGCTGTCCTTGAACCACAGATCACTAAGTTTATCCCTGATGTATTAGTTCCTGCCATTGATTTCGTTAAAGCAGAAATCAAATCGGTTTTGCCATTCCACGAATACACTTTCTTCAGCAATTTCTTGAATTTGCTTTCCGCAATCTTGAAATCGGAGAAAGATCTGACAAACATCAATAACTTCATGATCTTCTCATTGTACTGGTCACTTGGCGCAATGACAAATGGCCAGGATAGACAGGCATTCGATACAACAGTCAAAGGAATCCTTGATAAACAAAATATTCCAAGACCTGATGAATTGACATTGTTCGATTATTGCGTCAAAGGAAATGAATGGACCAAATGGATTGATATGACAGACAAGCCACCGGAAGGAGGTGTTCCGTCAGATGCTATCATTCCAACAGTTGAAACAACAAGACATTCATGGGTTATCAACGCTTTGGTCATGAACGGAATCGCTGTTTTGGTTACTGGTGTTACAGGTTCAGGAAAAACCGTTACTTTACAAAAGTACATTGAATCCCAACCAACACTTGTCAACAACCCGTTGACGTTCTCTGCCCAGACAACAGCCAATGGTGTACAAGACCTCATTGACAGCAAATTCGACAGAAGATCAGCAGGTATCTTTGGTCCGCCAATTGATCACCGCGCAATTATTTTTGTCGATGATATCAACATGCCTCGCAAAGAGAAATATGGAGCACAGCCACCAATAGAACTGTTAAGGCAGTTGCTTTCACAAGGCGGCTGGTACGACAGGAAGAAGAGAACATTTAAGAAGTTTGTCGATGTACAAATGGTCTGTTCAATGAGATCTCCTGAAGGTCCAGAACAAACACCAACAGGAAGATTCTTAAGACACTTCCATCAGATCGTTTTCCCTGAAATATCAAATGATTCAATGACAAGAATCTTCCACGCAATATTGAGCCATCCTTTGCAAGCTGTTTCCGATGTAATCGAGCCATTAATCAAAGCATCCGTTGAAATCTACGACACAGTTTGCAAGCAGTTATTGCCAACACCTTCAAGAGTTCATTACACATTCAACTTGAGAGATATCGCTCAAGTAATAAGAGGTGTAACTTCTCTTCATTCCAGCCAGGCAAACGACAAGAACAATGTTTTGAGGATCTGGTACCATGAGTCAATCAGAGTCTATCACGACAGACTTGTAAATGATGAAAACAGAGATTGGTTCATGAGATTATTGAAGAGAGTTTTACACGAAACATTCGGTGTCAGACACTTCCATTTGAGCTCAATCGAACCAGTCATTTACGCAGACTTTGGTGTTGATGATTCCAAGAAATACCAACAAGTCACCGATCTCGAGAAGTTCACAAGAGTTTGCCAGAACAATCTCGACGATTACAACGCAGCAAATTCACATCCTCTTGATTTGTGTCTCTTCTCAGAAGCCATACAACATCTCTGCAGAATCTGCCGCATCATAAGAGAACCAGGACGAAATGGTTTGTTACTTGGTGTCGGTGGTTCAGGTCGTCAATCATTAACAAGATTGGCTGCTTATATCTGCGGCGTACAGTTGTTCCAACCAGAGGTTTCTCGATCATATTCGAGAGTTGAATGGCGCCAGGACTTAAAGAGATTGTTACTTGACTGCGGCTTGCAAAAGAAAGAAACCGTTTTCTTAGTTTCAGAATCACAGTTGATTGATGAATCATTCTTCGAAGATATCAACTGTCTTTTGAACAGCGGTGATCCTCCAGCATTGTTCGATGATGATGACATGGAAAAGATCATTACAGGAACAACACCTTTGGCTAAAACTCTTGGTATTGTTGCAACAAGAGCTTCCGTTTATTCCCTCTTCATTTCTCAAGTCAAATCACACATGCACGTCATGATTGCTTTGTCACCAATTGGTTCATCATTCAGAAGACGTGTAAGAATGTTCCCATCATTAATTTCTTGTTGCACAATCGATTGGTTCGCTGAATGGCCAATTGAAGCTCTTGAAAACGTTTCAACAAGAGTCATTGGACCAGAATATTCAAAGTTCTGCGCTTCTGCACATTCCATTGTATCCAATTATTGCCAGAAGTTCTTCGAAGAGATGAAACGTACTAACTACGTTACTCCTTCAACATTCCTTTCCTTCCTGAACTTGATTACATCTCTTGGAGACAGATTGAAGACAAAACTCGAAACAACAACAAACAACATCCAGAAAGGTCTTCAAAAGATGGAAGAAGCATCAAAGGAAATTGTCGTTCTCGAGAAGAACATCAGAGAATTGCAGCCAGAACTCGCAAGAAGAAAGGATGAAACAGTTATTATGATCAGAGAACTTTCCGCGAACCAAGAACAAGCGAAAGCAACGAAAGACAAAGTCGCTGCAGCCACAAAAGAAGCAGAAGAACAATCAGTAATTGCAGACCAATTAAGTCAACAAGCTGCTGAAGATCTCAAACAAGTCGAGCCAAAGATTGAAGCAGCTGTTCAAGCTCTTTCCAAACTTTCTAGATCCGAAATTTCCGAACTCAAAGCTGTCGCAGTCGAAACAGAACCAATGAGATTAGTTTGCACAGCTCTTTGCATCATTTTCGATGAGCCACCAAAGAAAGGAAAGAGACCAAATGGTCAGCCTTACGATGATTACTTCTCCGCCGCCAAATCAATTCTCGCAGATCCAAACTTCGTCAAGCGTCTGAAGGATTGGATTGGCCTCAACAAAGACAAGATTTCTCCTGTAAAAATGCAGAAATTGAGAGTTGTTTTGGACAACCCTGATTTCGCTCCAGAAGTCATGTCATCCAAATCTCAGGCCATGGGAACAATCTGCTTGTGGGTTCACGCTATCGAACTCTATTACAACGTGAATGTCGAAGTAGAACCAAAGAGAAGAAAGAAAGCAGAAGCAGAAAAGAACCAACAAGAAGCTTTGAAGATTGTCGAAGAAAACAAAGCTAAACTTGCAGATATCGAAGCCAAAGTTGCCGAATTGGAAGAGAAGCACAAGAAATCTGAACAAGAACTCAAAGAACTCACAGACAAGAAAGAGAAATGTACAATTCGTCTTCAAAACGCTTCTATTCTCACTTCATCTCTTGAACACGAACGTGAATCATGGCAGAAAATGTTGGTTGACTTCGATGCCCAAAAGAGGAGAATCACAGGAGATTTGCTTCTTGCTGCTGCATCTGTTGCTTACTTAGGTCCATTCACATCCGATTTCAGAAAGCTTATTTTGCTCGAATGGTCCCAGAAACTTGAAGAATTCGGATTCCCAAGAACACCGGGAGGAAACATCACAAAGATTCTCGGTGATCCATTAACAGTTTTGCAGTGGAACTTGAAGGCTTTGCCAAGAGATGATCTCTCCATTGAAAACGCCATTGTGTTAACTGAATGCAGGAAATGGCCTTTGATTATTGATCCACAAAACCAAGCTTCCAATTTCATCAAGAACATCGAACCAGAGATTTTAGTTCTCAGGCCGAAAGAAAAGACATTTGTTCGTTCTCTTGAAAACGCCATCAATTTCGGACGTCCAGTTTTAGTTGAAGGAATTGATGAGGAATTAGATCCTTCATTAGATCCAATTCTCATGATTTCATCAAGAGATAAACCAGTACAAATCAAATTAGAGCATCAAGTTACTCTAAATCCAACCTTCAAATTGTACATGGTTACAACAAATCCAAACCCAACTTTCTCACCAGAAAACCTTGCAAAAGTTACATTGATCAACTTCACAATTACACAAACAGCTTTAAGTGATCAATTACTTGCATTGGTTGTTGCTAAAGAGAAACCAAATCTCGAGAAAGAGAAAGAAACATTGGTCGTAAACAACGCTCAAATGAAGTCCCAAATGCTTGAAATACAAGCAAAGATTTTGCAGTTGTTGCAAGAATCTAAAGGCGATATTCTCGATGATGTTGAACTTATCAACACATTGGCAGAGTCAAACAAGACACAGAAGACATTAACAGTGTCCATGGCTCAATCAGAAGAAACAGAAAAGCAAATCGATAGCAGCAGAAGAGAATACGAACCTGTTGCAAGACGTGGAGCTCTTTTGTACTTCTGCGTAATCGATTTAAGACATGTTGCTCCTATGTATCAATATTCATTGTCATGGTACGCAGGATTAGTTTCTAAATTGATTTCTGCAGCACCACATTCTGCTGTTCTTGAAGAGAGAATTGCAAATCTCATTCAATACATAACTCTCAAAGTTTTCAAGAACATTTCCAACTCTTTGTTCGCAAAGCATCAGTTGATGTTCGCCTTTTTGATTGCAGCAAGAATCAAACTCGATAAAGGAGACATCACAGAGAATGAATGGAAGTTCTTGTTAACAGGAACAACAGAAACAACTCAAGAACCACCTCCAAACAAAGTTCCTGAGTCAATAACTGATGCAACATGGGCAGAATTGTTCAATTTGTCACAGATCGAAGTATTCGATGGATTCGATAATTACGTGGCTGAACATGTCCAAGATGTTCTCAAGATCGAAAACTTCTTCGAAGATCCAATCGGAGGAAGCTACGACGAGAGAATGAACTTGTTCAGAAGACTCTGCATCGCAAGATGTTTGAGACCAGATACATTAGTTGACGGATTTACAAAGATGATCAGAGAAGATTTAGGTGATGAATATCTCGTTGTTGAACCATCAAACATCAGCCAAGCTTACGCAGATGCAGGCCCAACAACACCAATTATCTTCATCTTGAGCAGTGGTACAGATCCAGCACAAGATGTCCAGAACTTCGCAGCACAAATGGGATTCCTCGAGAAATTGAGAGCTCTTTCTCTCGGCCAAGGACAAGGAACGAAAGCTGCAGAGCTTATAGAGAACGGAAGAACAGAAGGTTTCTGGGTTTTGCTGCAGAACTGTCACTTGGCTACATCATGGATGCCTAAACTCGAAGAAATCCTTCAGAACTTGAAAGATGTTCACAATGATTTCAGATTGTGGCTCACTTCAATGCCTTCTGCCGCTTTCCCAGTTTCCATTTTGCAGAACGGTATCAAAGTCACAACAGAGCCACCACAAGGATTGAAGGCTACATTGACACAGTTGTTCCAGTCTTATGGACAGAAGACACTCAAAGAATGTCCAAGAGAAAACGAGTTCAAGTCGTTGTTCTATTCTTTGTGCTTCTTCCACGCCGTTGTTCTTGGAAGGAGGAAATACGGACCACTCGGTTGGAACTGCATTTACGAATGGACGAAAGGCGATTTAGACATTTCCAGGAAACAGTTGAACCTCTTCTTGTCAGCAACAGGACCAATTCCTTACAAGACACTTGGTTTCCTCGCAGGAGAAATCAACTACGGTGGTCGTGTAACTGATGATTGGGATCGCAGAACATTGTTGACTTTGTGCCAAGATTTCTATCGCGAAGAAGTCCTCAAAGAAGGCTTCAACATTGCTGGAAATTACATGACACCTCCTCCATCGAATCTCCCAGAATACCTCGAAGTAATCAATCAATATTCAGTCACAGATACTCCAGAACTCTTCGGCCTCCATCAAAACGCTGATTTGAACTTGAAGCAGCAAACTTCCTTCACTATCTTGTCTGATATTTTGTCGACAAGGCCACGTGGAGGCGGAAACTCTTCAGGAGGAAACAACAGCCTCGTTCAAACAGTCAATGCTTTGCTTAGAAAAGTTCCTCAGCAGTTGGATATGAAGACAATCCAAGAGAAATTCCCGAATGTCTACGAAGAATCAATGAACACAGTTCTCCAACAAGAAGCTGTTAGATACAACGAATTGCTCCAGTTGATTGAGACATCACTCAAGGCTTTAATCAAAGCAATGAAGGGTCTCATTGTTTTCACAAACGAATTGGAAGAAATGTCAACAGCAATCGACCAAAACGTTGTTCCTCCAAATTGGGCAGCAATCGCTTATCCATCAATGAAACCACTCAACTCTTGGATGGCGGATCTCAACGATCGTCTCAAATTCTTACGCGATTGGATCGATTTCGGACAGCCAAGAGTCTTCTGGATCTCCGGATTCTTCTTCCCACAGGCTTTCTTAACAGGAACAAAACAAAACTTCGCAAGAAAATACAAAGTTCCAATCGATGAAATTTCCTTCGATTTCCAGGTACAAGACAAAGGACCTCAGAGAATCATCAGACCTCCACAAGATGGTGTCTACATCTATGGTTTGTACTTAGAAGCTTGCGGATACGATACAATTGGAAAGAAGTTAGTTGACGCATTGCCAAGACAGTTGACACAAGAAATGCCAGTTATTTGGCTCAAACCAGTTCAAAACAGAGTTACTCCAACAACAGGTATCTACAGATGCCCTGTCTACAAGATTGGAACAAGACAAGGTGTTCTTACAACAACAGGTCACTCTTCTAACTATGTACTTACAATTGAGCTTCCTACAGATGTCGATGAAGCATTTTGGATCAAGAGAGGTGTTGCATTGCTTTGTTCATTATCAAGATAACACCTTATAGCTAAGTTTGTTTTTTTTTATTTATTGTTTTATGTTTTTATATGTTTATTTGTTTTTTATTTTCATCTTCATATATATAAAAAATTATAATTATTTTCTTTAAATAAAGTTTGTTATCCTTCTAAATCATTCTAAATCATAAGATATGCCATATTCTTGTAATATTTCGGAAATCTTCTGTTTTTTGTTCGTCTGGTAACTATTTAGGTATATATATCTATGTGTAATCTTACGTATAAATCACCGTGTTGGTTCTTTAAGATGAAACAACTTTGCAATCCTGTGCATCAACAATTGAAACTTGATTCTTTCAAGCTATATAACTAAAAAATCATCTTAGATTAACATTAGTATGCCAGTAATACATAACATTGCATTGATTTTGTTTCCGAAAAATAAAAGTCAATTGATTTTTCAATTGATTTGAAAAATTTGACTGAAAAAATTTACAAAAAAGACGTTTAGGATTTTGAATTCCTCTAAAATCTTTTTAATTCACCTATTGATAATGCTATATTTCAGGCCGGCCATTTCAATTAGAAAATACCAAAAAATTATGACTCAACAGGGAATTGCGAAATTCTTTGGAGGAAAAGATATTGAGTCTACAAAGAAGAACGCTATTGTACGCAAGCAAGTCAACGTAAATATATCAGATTTTGACAACGTTTTCAAGGATGTTGAAATCCCAACTGTCGAAGGTTACAATATTCCTCGAGATGTCGTTGGATATGTAGCCTGGAACAGAGGAGATCCAATTCCATTCACATTTATTACAAAAATGGTCGATGAGCTCGAACCATTAACTGGAAAGCTCGAAATTAACGATTTACTCTGCAAATACTTCTTGGCAATCCTCATGACAACACCAAAGGACATTGTCCCATTCGTATTTTTATGTCTCGGACAACTTCGTCCCAATCATGAAGGTGTTAAAATTAACATTGGCCAGGAAAGTATTATTTCTGCTCTCGGCGACAAAAAAGTTGTGAAAGAGAAGCTGAAGAAAGAAGGTGACCTTTCCAAGGTTGCTCAGCAGATCAGATCCACACAAAAATCAATGACATCAATGTTCGGCAAAGTCAACGAAGCATATACAATTACCGGCGTCTACAAAGAATTCCTCAAGATGGCAGGATTCCAAGGTGCCAACTCAGATCGCAATAGAACACAAACAATCCAGAAATTATTAACAAATTGCAAACCAGAAGAAGTCAAATGCATTGTTCGTATGCTTGAGTGCAAACTTAGAGTTGGCGCTGCACATGAATCATTCTTATTTGCTTTAGGTATGGCATTCCGCCGCCGCGAGTACATCATGGGAATGATTAAGAACAATCCTGATGAAGAAGACCTTAAAGATCATGGCCACTTGTTCCGTGAGATCTACTACAGATACCCAATCATCGACGAGATCCTTGTTGAGTTTCTCAGAGGCAGTTTCAAGGGAGCAGAGAAGAATATCAACATCAAAGTTGGAATTCCTGCAATGCCAATGCTTGCTAAGCCAGCAAAGAAACTCGATGAAATCAAGAGACGTCTTGGCGATGGAAGAATCACAGGCGAATACAAGTACGATGGCGAAAGAGCTCAAATTCATAAGAACAAAGAAGGCAAAGTCAGAATTTTCTCAAGAAGTGCAGAAGATTCTACTGCTAAGTTTGCAGATGTTGCTGATATCATCACAGACAATGTTAAGGGTGAACAATACATCTTAGACTCCGAGATTGTTGCCTATGATCCAGAGAAACACGTAATTTTGCCATTCCAAACTTTGATGAATCGTCCAAAGAAAGGAACAGATACTCCATCTGCAATTCATGTTTGTGTTTGTGCATTCGACTTGCTTTCCTACAATGGAGTAAGTATGTTAGATGAACCACTCGAGAAGCGCAGAGATAAGTTGCATGAAATCGTTACTGTTGTTCCAACGAAATTGCAGTTGGCAACATACAAGAATGCTTCAAAGATCGAAGATCTTGGCGACTTCTTCGAAGAAGCTGTTAGCAACAGAACAGAAGGACTCATGGTCAAGACACTCAATGGAAGATACGAGTGCGGAAAGAGAGCAATGAGTTGGGCAAAGTTGAAGAAGGATTACATCAGCAAAGAAGTCTTCAAAGGTGGCGTTGCAGAAGAAATTCCTCCAGATACTATTGATGTCGTTGTCATCGGTGCTACATATGGCAAAGGCAAGAGAACATCTGTTTATGGTGCTTTCCTTGTTGGCGTTTATAACAATGTTACAGGCAAGGTTGAATCTCTTTGCTTTGTCGGCACAGGTTTCAAGGAAGATGATCTCAAGGAATTTTATGAGAAATTACATCCACTCGAAATGGAGAAGTGCCCAGACAATGTTGACTGCAGGCCATTAGACCAAGATCCAGTTTTCTTCAAGCCAGAGCTCGTTTGGGAAATTCAAGTTGCAGATATCCAAACAACACCAACTTACAGCGCTTGCTGGGGTGAATTAGGCGAGAAAGGCCTCACAATCAGATTTGGAAGATACTATAGAACTAGAACAGATAAGACATGGGAACAATCTACATCGACAGAGCAATTACTTGAGCTCTATCATCAACAATTTGAGAAATAAAGATTTTAAACTTTTTTTGTTAAATAATAATCTTTAAATTGATACATAAAAATGAAATAATAATGAATGTAGATAAAAAATTGTCAAATTTTTATAAACAAAAAATGTATGTTTACAGAAGAGATAGAATTATTTTTGGAGCTTAGTCAACTTCCTCGACACGTGGGCCAGAGCCAGAGGATGGATGAGCAGCGCCTGCGCCTGGAGCAGCACCACCAGCGCCACCCATGTTCTGGAACATAGATGGGTCAACACCACCTGGCATTCCGCCGGCACCACCAGCAGCAGACTGGTAGGCCTTCTGCATGAGTGGCATCAACTGGCCTTCGACTTCCTTCTGCTTCGCTTCGTAGTCAGCTGTGGAAGCGTCCTGGTTGGATTCGATCCAAGCGAGTGTGTCGTTGACAATCTTGAGAATGGCATCCTTGTCAGCCTGAGCAATCTTAGAGCCGAGTTCGCCGTTGACAGAGTTACGAACACCGAAGCAGTAACCTTCGAGACCGTTCTTTGCTTCGATCTTCTTCTTGGCTTCTTCATCCTGAGCCTTGTACTTCTCAGCATCAGAAACCATGCGGTCGATATCTGCCTGAGAAAGACGGCCCTTGTCGTTCTTGATTGTGATCTTCTTGACGTTACCTGTGGACTTATCCTGAGCGGAAACGTTCATGATACCATCAGCGTTGACATCGAATGTGACTTCGATCTGTGGAACACCACGTGGTGCTGGTGGAATGCCTGTGAGATCGAATGTACCGAGAAGGTTGTTGTCGCGTGTTCTTGTACGCTCACCTTCGTAGACCTTGATTGTAACTGCTGGCTGGTTATCAGCGAATGTTGTGAAGATGTTTGACTTCTTGGCTGGAATTGTTGTGTTACGTGGGATCAAAACTGTCATGATTTCGCCAGCTGTCTCAATACCAAGAGAAAGTGGAGCGACATCGAGAAGTAAGATATCCTTGACTGCCTCGGAGTTATCGCCCTTGATGATGGCGGCCTGGACTGCAGCACCGTAAGCGACGGCCTCATCTGGGTCGACACCACGGCATGGCTGCTTGCCGTTGAAGAACTCCTGGAGGAGCTGCTGGACACGTGGAATACGTGATGAGCCACCGACAAGAACGATATCTGTGACATCGGACTTTGACATCTTTGCATCCTTGAGAACCTGGGCAACTGGACCAAGTGTGGATCTGAAGAGTTCATCGTTCAAGTTCTCGAACATAGCACGAGAAATTGTATCCTGGAAATCGTGGCCCTGGTAAAGAGACTCGCAAAGGATGGAAGCGTTAGCAGCTGTAGAGATTGTACGCTTAGCACGCTCGCAAGCTGTTCTGAGTGTTCTCAAAGCACGTGGTGATTCGCGGAGATCGCACTTGAACTTCTTCTGGAAACGATCAGCGAAGTAATCGACAAGGCGTGAGTCGAAGTCTTCACCACCAAGGTGTGTATCACCAGCTGTAGCACGAACTTCGAACATGCCACCATCGATATCAAGAAGGGAAACATCGAATGTGCCACCACCAAGATCGAAGATGAGAACGTGGCGTTCCTTGTCGGACTTCTCGTTGAGGCCGAAAGCAATAGCAGCGGCTGTTGGCTCGTTGATGATACGGAGGACGTTAAGGCCAGCGATAACACCAGCATCCTTTGTAGCTTGACGTTGGCCATCGTTGAAGTAAGCTGGAACTGTAACGACAGCATCTGTAATCTTTTCGGAGAGCATGTTCTCAGCTGTTTCCTTCATCTTGCCGAGGACCATGGCTGAGATTTCTTCTGGGAAGAACTGCTTTGTCTCACCCTTGAACTGGACCTCAATCTTTGGACGGTCGCCATCACTGCGGACGACCTTGAATGGCCAGTGCTTCATATCCTTCTGGACGACTGGATCAGAGAACTTACGGCCAATCATACGCTTAGCATCGAAGACTGTGTTCTGTGGGTTCATAGCGGCCTGGTTCTTAGCGGCATCACCGACGAGTCTTTCGTCTTCTGTGAATGCGACATAAGAAGGTGTTGTACGGTTACCCATATCATTAGCGAGAATATCTACACGATTGTGACGGAACACACCTACGCATGAGTAGGTTGTACCAAGATCAATACCAATAGCAGACATTATTAAAAAATGATTGAATAGCTTTTCTCCTTAACACTTCTCAATTTTTTGACAACTTAAGTGGCCGCCCACTTTTTACTGACTACTTATAAAAATTTTGTTGTCACTTTTCGCATCTATCAAAAAAAAGTCTTTATTGTTGTTCATTCTCCAATATCATGACCAGATCTCTTAATTAAAATCAATTTTAATGTTTCAATAATCATCTGGTTTATTTTATTATTTCAATTCATAACTTGCAAGTGCAGTTGCCTCTCATAGCATGAATAGCATAAATCTATCGAATTCATATGCTGTAGATTCTTTGTTTTTCATAGAAGTCAAAGAACTGATATTCATAATGAAAGATGTTTTAGATGCGTCTAAACTACATTTCGCTTAAGAAAACTCTTTTATTACCATTTTGCGATTTTTGCATAGTTGATAGCCATAATTCTGAGAGAAGAGCACATTTAATCATAACCTCATTATTGTGAATTCATTTATGCATAAAAGGAAAATGCTATATTATTAAATGATTATTAATTTTTTAATCAATTTCTCGTAACATTCATATGGTAAACAAATTACTGGTTTAATTATTTAGGAAATCCATTTCTTCGAAGTATATTGACTATATTCTGCCGATTTTTATAAATTGCAAAAGATAGTGGATTTCTATTTTGATTGTTTTTAGCATTTTTATCTATTTTTTGCTGAGTACAAAGGAATTCACAGATATCTTCACATCCTTCATAAATAGAAAAATGAAGAGGAGTATCATTATCACTATCTCTAGAATTGATATCTATGAAATTAAGTGCAAATTTAACACCTTCAAGATTTCCACGGCAGCAAAACCAATGAAGAACCGTCGAATTATAATTAGTTTTACTTCTTATATCAGCACCATTTAGAAACAAATGTTTGACAATTTCTCTCTGCTGCTCTAAGGATCATATTGTAACCTGAACTATCTCGAACATCAGAATATTTTTCATCAACGGCAAGTTTGATTGTAAAAAGATCTCCTTCATTTGATGCCTTTGCAAGTAATTCATATATTTTAGAAAAATTTTCTTTTGATATTGTCAAACTTCTTAAGTTTCTTATATTATCATCTGATATGTCATTTCTGTGAAGTTCGTTGATTGGCGAAAGTTCTAGTTTATGAAGAAATGGTGAATGTTGAAGAAGTGCACATTTGAAGACTTGGCTCGAAATAGATTCAAGTTTGTTTGTTTCTGCATAGTTTGAAATTTCTTCAATAACATTTTTGCTGCAAAATTCGACTCTGACATATTTAAGTAATTCGAAGTAAATATTATCATGTTTGCTCATAGAGATGATCGTTTTGCATAAAGAGTCTTCTGTTGATATTTTAAGAGATTTAGATATCAATACACTCTCAAAGAAGTCGTATCCATATCTTTTGATTGTTTCTATCTTGTATTCTTCTTTGAGAGAACTCATCCTCGATGCAAAGAAAGAAATGCACTCGTTGATCTTATTTGTGTCATTTTGAACTGAAGCTGCATCATAGATGTCGTAAAAGTTTTCTAAGTTGGTTTCGATATAAGACTTGACAAAGTCACAGAACACTTTGATAAGGAACTCATTTCCGATTGCTAAACCCACTTCGAAAATATCTCTATTATGTTTTCTGTCGTTTTCATAAACAAGTTCACCATTCTTGAAAAGATCTGAAATTATTTTTAATGTATCACTGCAAGACAGATTTAAATTAAGAACTAATGAATTGAATGTTGAATCGCGAAGATATGCATCGTAAGCAGTTTTTGAACTAATTATTGAAATGTTCTTTGAAGAAGTCATGTTTTGTTTGTTAATTATGATTGAGAGATTTTGCTCGTCCTTAATTATATTTCCTCGCATGATCTCAGGATACTTTAACGTAACAATGACCATTATTTTTTTTTAACTTTTTACGGTGGCAAATATTTTTCTCTCAAAAATCACATTTATCACTTCACATTTATTTTACACTATTTATAATAACTCGAATTGTTGTAAACAGAAATTCATCAAAAGTGACACCTCAGAAAAGCTAAAATATTGAATTTTTGGAACTTTTGATAGAGCACGTTTTTAAATATTAATTAAAGTAAATGTATATTTTGTAAAGATTCTTTTTAATAAAAAAATAAAATTTTGAAGAAGAACACAAAATCTTCTGAAAAATAATATCACATAAACTCATATTATTTTCTAATATATAACTATTTTATATAAAAATCAAATTCAATGATCTTAAAAGCGAAGGATAAACCTCAAAATTTACGAATATAATGAGTGGGAATATAATGCTTATCTATCATAAAACCATATGAAATATTAATTTTTGCTTTACGCCTAATTTTTGACGACAATTAGCAAAAAATGTTAAATGTTAACACTCAGTCCATTTGAATATGAAAATAAAATTGACTTTGATTAAATGTTTTTATTTATCATGCAATTCTTCTTGCGACCAAAGATTTGAATAAAAGTTCAAAAAATAAGATAGCTTAAAAAATAATATACGGTAGTGTTTACTAATAGATGAATAGTATATAAATTCTATTAAAATGGATTTGATCCAAAAAAATATAAAACCAAAAATAATTGTTATAATTTAAATGAAGAAGTAATTTAAAACGATTTTATTTATGATCAAATTTTAAATATTTTTTTGGATCAAATCCATTTTAATAGAATTTATATACTATTCATCTATTAGTAAACACTACCGTATATTATTTTTTAAGCTATCTTATTTTTTGAACTTTTATTCAAATCTTTGGTCGCAAGAAGAATTGCATGATAAATAAAAACATTTAATCAAAGTCAATTTTATTTTTCATATTCAAATGGACTGAGTGTTAACATTTAACATTTTTTGCTAATTGTCGTCAAAAATTAGGCGTAAAGCAAAAATTAATATTTCATATGGTTTTATGATAGATAAGCATTATATTCCCACTCATTATATTCGTAAATTTTGAGGTTTATCCTTCGCTTTTAAGATCATTGAATTTGATTTTTATATAAAATAGTTATATATTAGAAAATAATATGAGTTTATGTGATATTATTTTTCAGAAGATTTTATTCTATATGCCTATGAAAAGTACTCTCAAAACCAACTTTTTCCTAATTATAATTAAATCTAGAATATTGTATTATGCTTAGTATTATTTCATTTTTCTCATTCAATTTAGAATTTACAAATGTCAAAAAATTGAGAGCTGTCACTTTTGATGAATTTCTGTTTATTACAGAATAACGACAATTATGCAAGCGCTCGTCTGGGGATTATCATATATGCTTTTTTTGTTGATTTTGGTAAATTATAATCACAATTGCTGACACATCACATTTAGTTTATGATTTTGGTGATCAATCAAATAGTAGATCCAGAATGATTGCTCTGAAAAAGTATATGGGTAGATATCATAAAATTATTTTTCATTAGTTAACAAATATTATCCATATTGTTATTAATCATTAAAATGTTAATATCCAATGATCCGAATATTTAAAAAATATAATCTATGATTTCAGATTTTCTATAAAAATACATATGATTAATTAATAAAACAAACAGATAATATAAGTTTATGTTAATATACTTGATCACCAAGTAATGATAAGAAATGAATGCATAATCTAGCCAAAGATAGAATTTCTACAGCAGAATCATTCCACTTATGGTTAATTTCATCCATATTAGTAGATAAGATGAGTTTTGGTAAAATACTTTCGTGGATTTCAGGTTCATCTTGTTTCAACATTTTTGCAGCTTCTTTAGTAATAAGACCAATATATTGGATGAATGTAGATATGTTGAATGATAGATCAGTCAGTTCTTTCCTTTGTTCAAGCGAAGAATTAAACCAAAGACGGAATTTAGAATCTTTAACTCGTAAAATAGGCATGAGTGGAAGCGGAATAACTGTTATTGGACATTTAATCTTAAACACATGTTGAATTGATAGTATGAGCTGTGATAATTCTGATATTGAGCCATTGAAATCATTTGCACTTTGTAAAGGATGAACAAATTTATATTTCGATATTGTGCAAGGTATAACATTCGTATTAATTGACAAAATATCATGCATACCAAATTCAGCGCTAATCGAGCTTCCTAATAGCTGAACAGGTGGTAAATCATCTAATTTTCTATGAACTTCACTTGCAGCAGATTCTCGTGGTGATTTTTTCTGAGTTTGCGGATTTTCTTTTTTCAATTCTTTTTTATTTTCAATTGGTGGGTTTGCCAAAGCATGATTTAACTTGTTTTCATAGCTGAGGATGATTTCAAGTATGTTATTTGCCACATCAGGCGGTGCCATTTTTTCAATTTGTGCTGAATCTGATGCTTGCGCTAAGTCTTCAGCCGAACAAACACAAGGAGGTGGGAGAGGGACTTCTTGATGAAATGCTTCCGCCATTTTTACATATATAATTTCTGACTTCTCCCTAATAATTGGTTTTTCTTCAGGAATCATTAAATAAAAAAGTGACAAAATTTAATGACAGAAAATCAAAATCCACCACAAACACCAGATTCAAAGCAACCCGATCAGATTGCTTCACCCAATAAGGCCAGGAGACACAGTTCTAAGGATAAAGTTGATTTTACAACAGAAATTATCGAATGGGATCCTGAAAAACCATTCCATGGTATAATTTCAAGGATTTCTGAGATATGTATGGGTAACCCATACGAAAAGGGTATCATTAATATCACAGCATCAAGCACACTCGGAAATCATCCGTCACAAGTCATAGATTACAAATGGAATTCACATTGGGTATCCGACAATCAGCCTGACCAATGGATAAAATTCGATTTCAAACAGATTAAATATCAAATTACTGGATATTCATTAAAAACGTACAATTACGTTGCAGACGGCAACCATCTAAGATCATGGTCTTTGCAAGCATCAGCAAATGATACAGATTGGGTTGATATTGACCATCAAGTTTCAAACAGCGATCTAAATGGAAGATCAAAAATCGCTTTCTTCAAATGCAAGATACCATCTAACTTTAGATTTTGCAGACTTATCCAAACAGGCTACAGTTGGTGCGACAGCAATATGCTTGCGCTTACAAATATTGAATTTTATGGTCAGCTTACACCAGATCCATCAATGTCTAGTATATAACGTAATATATTTACTGTATGAATCTTTCCTTAACATGGATAGTAAAATTTGTTTTTAATTTTTCAAATTATTTTTTTTTATTTGGGACAATTCAGGATTAAATTTAATAATTCGAAATCAATTTAGAAACATTATATAAAAATTAGGAAATACAAGAATAATTTTAAATAACAATAAAAACATAACATAATTTAAAAATAATCATCGCTGGATTCCTCAGCCATTTCACTAATATCTGGTAGACTTTGAGTTACTTGCAGCGGGTTTGATTTTTCTGTTTCAATACCAAGATATTTGCAAATATTTGCAACAATATTCGCAACTGAAGGATTATTTCTTGGTAAACTCATTTCTTTAGAGACGGCAGCATATATCTCCTGTGTATTCATATTTACAGCACGTGGTAAAACAGATCTAAGAACCTGGTCTTCTTCATAGCTTAACTGTGCCATTGTTGTTGATTGAGAAAGACTGGAACCGGAAATTCTCGATAATTCTGAATGTTCCTTTGCATATTTCTCAAGGTGTTCCATTGGAGTGATATCAAAGTTATCATTATTAAGACTTTCATCGCTCTCGTACTGATTAACAAGTTGAGAACTTGCATTAGATTTCCTGACAAATGGCAAAAGAACATCGGGACTAAATGAAACTCTCATCTTGTTTGTTGAACTCTTTCTTGTTGAATTTTCTTCTGGAAGCTTTTCATGAACAGGTTGAGAACTGATATGTTCTTCTTCTAGTTTTTGAAGACCAGACTGATTAATTGTTTCGTCATCAGATAAAATTTCCTTTTCTTGCAAAGGAGGTATTGATTTTGTATCAGTATCATCTTCAATTATTTCTTCTGTCAATGTATTTTGCTTTGGAGATTGCTTTGAAGCCTTAGATTGTGGTGAGTTTGATGTATTCAAATTAAATGTAGAAGTCATTGTTGAATTAGTTGTTGTACTTAATGGACCAAATGTTAAGTCTTGAGTATCATTTGAAGTACTTTTAGAAACACTTTGTGTCGATTTCTTTGAAATTTCTTTTGTCTTCAATTCATCACCAATTGTTGAAATCATTGTCGTAGATTTCCTTAAATCACTTTGTGCATATGATTTATCTTTATCATCTTTTGAAATTTTCTTTGTTTTCAGTTCATCAATTGTTGAAACATTCATAAGAGAATCTTCCTCTTTATCATTATTTTTAGAAACTTTCTTTGTCTTTAAGTCATCAATGGTAGAAACATTCATAAGAGAATCTTCATCATCATCTTTTGCAACATTCTTTGTTCTAAATTCGTCATTTGATGACAAATTCATTGAGTCATCGGTTAATTTTTCTGATAAAATATATGAATCATCATCAATTGAATTTTCTTCAAGTTTTTGGTTATTTAATACATTTGATTGGGCCTTGCTTGAGCTTGACTTCTGTGAAATACTCTTTCTTAAACTATCATCAGATAATATTCCAGGTTGTGAATTAATCATCTTTGAATCCTCATAAGATTTCTCTGATAAAATATTCGAATTTCCTGATACTGACAAAATTTTGTCAGATGCTGATTTATCAATTGATAATAACGAGTCATCTTTGATTTCAGCAGATTTTGTAAGAGTTTTATCTGTTGATAATAATAAAGATTCATCATCAATCTTCTGAGATTTACCAGTCTTTGTCAATGATTTATCATCAATTCTTTGAGAATCATTAGTCTTTGTCAATGATTTACCATAATTATCTTGATAGTTATCAGTCTTTGTCAATGATTTTTCATTAGTCTTTTGGGACTTATCAGTTTTATTATTTGTTGATTGACGTGTACTATCAAAGATATTATGAGTTTTGAGTCCTCCATTTGTTGACCAAATATCGGAATCATCATCAATTCCTTTAACTGTAGCATTTTTAGTTTGTTTAGGTCTAGTTTTCCCGTTATTTAGAAGTGAAAATGTCATATCATCAAAGTCTTCTTCATTTGCTGATATTTGTGAATTTCCACCACCTAAACTGAAGCTAAGTTCTGCTGTTTCTGATGGTAAACCAACTTTTGATTCATTCTTTGAGAGATTTACTGGTTTAGACATTGAACTCTCAAGTGTTCCATCAGTTACAGTTGAACTTTCAAAGAGACTTTCTTTGTATTTAGGAGAAACTAAAGGAGTCTGAACATTTGATTTTTCATCATTAGAAACACTTTCTTGATCCAAAGGTTTCATACTATTTTTCTGTTCATTTAATGATTCAGAGAATGACTTAGCTAATGATAAATTCACTGGTTTAGATAATGAATCTTCATCATCTGAAGCTTCTTCTTCTTCATCTAAGATTGCATTTTCTTGAAGGATCTTTTTAAGAGGATGAGTAACATATTCAGCATTATCAGAGTCTTTGCTTGACGAAGATCTTGTTTTCTCGAAGTCATAAACATTTCCTTTCTTATGTGGTTTGTTATCAAATGTTTTAGTTTCAAGTTCATCAATTGTTGACAAATTCAGATTTTCTTCTTCAATATCAGAATCATTTTCAATTGGCTTGCTGTTAATTGCTTTAGTCTTGATATCAATAGAACCTGTTTTAGTTGATGATGACAATACATTTTCAATTGGCTTGTTGTTAATTGCTTTAGTCTTGATATCAATAAAATCTGTTTTAGCTGATGATGATGATGACAATACATTTTCAATTGGTTTGTTATTAATTGCTTTAGTTTTAAGATCAATTGTGTCTGTTTTAGTTGATGATGATAATATATTATCTTCAATTTTGTTTGAATGATGTGAAACAACACTTTGCCGCAATGAATTTGTTCTTTCATCTAATTTTGATAAATTAACAGGTTTTGACAAAGAACATTCAAGTGTTGTTGAATCAGTTGTTGATGAACTATCAAATAAACTTTCTTTATATTGATTTGCTTTAGGAGTTGCAATTGTTCCTGTTTTGTTTTGAGATGAAGATGATTTAGATTTCTCATCATTAGAAACACTTTCTTGAACTAAAGGTTTAATTACAGATTCATCAATACTTTCCTCATCTTCCTCGGAATCCCAAACAGGAATTTTTTGAATAACTAATGAAGTACTTTCAAGATTTTCATCTTGAGTCAATGTTTTATCACTAATTGAACCAATTTTACTTAATTCTCCTTTTGCAATCGAATTAGAATTCAAATCTTTGGCAAGAGATAATTCATTAGGTTTAGATTTATTACTGCTACTTGATTTTGTTGAAGAAGGAAGGAATTCATCTTTATGGATAGTTGAATCATGAATAGTACTTTGTTTAGGTGAAGTAAGTGTCGATGAAGATGTTTCGTTAAGTGTACTGAACAAAACATCACTATTTTTAATTGATTTTCCTGTTAAACTATTATTATTTGAGTTTTGATTTGATTTATCTGTTAAATTCTGTGCATTTGTAGATTGTTTTTCATCTGTAAGAGTTAATGATTGCAACATAGTTCCTTCATCATTTGGCATCAAACTATTTGTAGCTGATAAACTTTCACCAAATGAATAATCCGATAAACCGTTTTCTTTGGATTCATCATCTGATTTACCGACTAATTCAACTGATTTATATGGTGTAGTTTGTGCTAAATCATCAGATTTAGGTAACAAAGATGATAAACTATTATCTTTTGCTTTAAGTGATTTCTTGGATTTATTAGACTTTTCCAAAGTTGACTCAGATTTATCTGAAATTGATAATGATAAATTATTTTTATCAAGCTCATTTTGAGAGTTATTGATTGACTTATTAGTAGAATCCAATGGAGTATTTGGCTTAGTTGACTTCGATTTATCAGTAATTTCAAATGTAGATCCATTCTTTGTACTTTTCAGTGATTTTCCTGTACTTGACTTATCTGTAACATTCATCAATTCATCTACAAGTTTAAGCGCGGAGTTTTCTGTATTTTCTAATGATTTATATGTATTATTCATTAATTCATCAGCAAATTTAAGTGTAGAGTTATTAGTGTTTTCCATTGAATTCTTTGTTTTAGTTGGATCTCTGTTTGATTTATCGGTAACATTCATGAGTTCGTCTACTAGTTTAAGTGCAGAGTTTTCGGTGTTTTCCAAAGATTTCTTAGATTTATCGGTAACATTCATGAGTTCGTCTACTAGTTTAAGTGCAGAGTTTTCGGTGTTTTCCAAAGATTTCTTAGATTTGTCAGTGACATTCATGAGTTCATCTGCTAATTTAAGTGCAGAGTTTTCGGTGTTTTCCATTGATATCTTAGATTTAGTTGGGCCTTTGTTTGATTTGTCAGTGACATTCATCAATTCATCTGCTAACTTTAAAGCGGAATTTTTGGTATTCTCTAATGACTTCTTTGATTTAATTGTATCATTCTTGGATTTTCCTGTCAATGTTGAATTATCAACTTTGAACTTATCAGAAAGTGACAAACTCAACTCAGAATTGTCTTTATCTGTCTTATTAATTGTTGCTGAAATCATTTTAGTCTTATCTGACGATTTCAATGTTGCATTTTCTTCTGTTATTATATTCTGTTTTGATCCATTTGTTTTCTGTTTATCAGTGATTCTTAATGATGAATTTTCATCTTCAATCGGTTCAGACAAAAGTGCATCTGATTCATTATCAGCATTAGATTTATCAGTGAAACTCAAATTGATTCCTGAATCATCCGACTTTGAATTATTATTTATTGTTGAAGACCTTTGTGAATTTAATGTTGAATTGTTTCTTGAAGTCCGAGATTTTTCAGTTTCAACCAATTCTTCATTAAGAATTTGCTTTGAATCATGAGATTTTGGTGATGAAATGTTTGAACTATTAACTAGTGCATCATTGTTTGTGTTTGATTTTTCTGTACTGACTTTAGAATCATTCAACTTCGATTTATTTGATAATTTATCTGTTCCACTTGCATTAAGTTTGTTATCTTTTTCATCAGACTTAATTGCAGAGAGTTTAGAACTATTTCTAAGAGATAAATCATTATTACTTTGTTTGCCTGTTGAAGACTTTTTTGATTTATTAGTAAGGGATTTATCTGTATCATTCATTTCTGATTTAAATGTAGATATATTTGAATCAACTCCGAATGAATTTCCTGTTTCATTATTAATACTTTGTTTGCTTAATGTAGATTTGTTTGATTTGTTAGTTAATAATTTATCTGTATCATTAAATTCCTTATTAATATTTTGTTTGCTTAATGTAGAATTATTTGATTTGTTAGTTAATGATTTATCTGTATCATTAAATTCCTTATTAATACTTTGCTTACTTGCAGTTGACTCCTTTGATTTATAAGATAAATTATCAGTATAATTTAGATCATTGTTAATAGTTTGTTTGCTTGCAGTAGAATTCTTTGACTTATTATTTAGAGATTTGTCTGTGTCATTGAATTCCTTATTAATGTTTTGTCTATTTGTTGCTGAACTATTTGATTTATCTGTTGAATTCTTTGATAATTTGTTGGTTTCTCCTTGTGAATCAACAGCTTTAGGTTTGATTGATGTATTCTTAGATTTATTTGATAAATTATCATCATCTAATATCTTTTCTTCAACAAGTTTACTACTACTCATATTATTTTCAGGTTGTTCTTGTTTGTTATTCATTGAATTCATTAACTTATTGAAGATAGGAACAACAGGAGGCTTAAATGATTTCTTTTCGTTGTTTACAGGAACAAATCCTGTATCAACTTCCATCTTTGGTTTTTCTGATTCATCATCATATTCTTCTTCTTCGCTATAAGTATAGAAATAAGATGATGATTTCTGTGTGCTACTTCTCGATTGTTCAGGACGTTGTTGTTGCTTTTGATTCTGATTTTGTTCAGCTTCCATTTCTTTCATTGCTTTCAACTCTGTTTCAATGAATGATTGCAATGATTTCCTTGACATCTCTGTTGTCTGAGTTCTATTTGGATCATAAGTTGATGTAAGAGATAAACCATTTTTATCAGTGATTGATTTCTCGCTTTGAATTGTTGATTGAAGATTACTTTCATTAAGAGTTTTTTCTTCAGGTTCATCAATTGATTCATTATATGACTCATCGTATGAATCACTAAGATTATTATCATTTGGCTCTTGAATAGTAACTTTTGGTTTGTTGATGATTTTTTCAACTTCTTCATCAATGGAATCATCAGAATAAGAATATTCATCTTCAGGGAATCTTGTTTCTTTGATATTATTAGGTCTTTGGGGAATTTCATTATACCTACTACTATTTGATTGTTTCGACTCTTTAACAGGAATTTGTTTTCCAGAATTAAATTTAGATTTAACTAAAGGTTCTTCAATATCACTTTCTTCTTCCAAATTATCATCATTATACTGACTATTTTTGTTAATTTGGACTTTGTTTTCAGAAGATTGTAATTTTGATTTAATATTACTTAAAGGTTCTTCAATTTCACTTTCTTCTTCATCATTATATTGATTATATTTGCTTGGATTGTTCACAGGAACTTTATTTCCGGAAGAATTAAATTTATTTAATTTTGATTTATCATTAGTTGAAGGAGTTTCAATTTCACTATCTTCTTCTTCAATATCATCGTTATATCCGTCATTATCACTAAGTTCTTTCTTTGTGTTTTTAGTTGGAAGTTCAATATCGCTTTCTTCTTCAATAAAACTATGCGACTTAGCTTGAAACTTAGGTGACTTAAGGAGATCTTCTGATATTGAATCAGATTCATTTGATATATTCTTATTATTATATTTTTGCTCAATTTGTTTTGACTTTGGTGGACTATTTCTTATTGGAATACGAGAAATTCTAGGCTTTGATGGGATAACTTGCATTTCTTCAGAGTCTTCCTCTTCTTCATTAAAAGATTCATCAGATTTCTCAAATTTCGGAGCCAATGGCAATTCCTTAGGAATATTTGGTTGATTTTTAGGTTGAATATGCGTAATTTTCTTTCCTGCTATACCATTAATCTCTTTTTGTTTCTTATGAATATCATAATATCCATTTTCCTTGGAATTTTGACCTTCTTTTGACTGGTTTCTATTTGTCTTAGTTGATATTTCATATCTACTAGCTAAATTAGGTTGTATTCTTGGAATTGTCGGTGCCTTTTTAGGCGACGATGATTTAGGCTTTGATGGAATGATTTGCAACTCTTCTTCTGAGTCTTCACTATCAAAACTATTAGTTGTGTTATTGCTTTGCTGATCATCTTCATATTGTGGAATTCTTCGCAATGATTTTCGTTTCTTTTCTTCATTCCTTTGTTGTCTTTCTTGTTTGAGTTTTTCGGCGAGTTTTTTGGTGCCTTCTGGATTTTCTCCTTTTCTTATTGTACTTTGTCTAGGTGGAGATTTTGGTTTGGCTCCAAAATCACAACTTTCATTGTTGTTCATTGCATCGTGAACTTTTTGGAATAAATCTTTTTCTTTTTCATAAGGTAAAGTAGATTTTTCGGCTTTAGGCTTAGTATTATTCATTGAAATACCTCCACTAACAGGTATACGCTTATTAATAATATTTTTAGGAGCGAAATTGTATCCAACATTCAAAATTGTTTTAGGTATATCGATTTCTTCACTTTCAGTTTCTGATGTATCAAGATATTTCTTATTCTTGCGTTCCGGAGAGTTTTTAGGTTTTGATGCTTTAGAAGCGCGTTTGAGGATTTCAAGATGTTCGTCAAATTTGTCTTTTTGAGGTTGAATAGACTTTCCTTGATCATTAGTTGCCTTTTCAGGTTGTTTTTCTTGTTTAGTAGGAATTCCTGGTGAAATATTTTGAAGTCTAGGTTTTGCAAGTGCTTGTTTAGTAGGAACAGTTAAGTAATCAATTTGTTCAAGAAGGAAGTCAACTTTTTGCAATCTATAAGTTGAAGCTTCCATTTAAAAATTTACTAAAATCTGTAAAAAAAATCGAAAGATTTTAGAAAAAAGTGACCGTTTAAAATTTTAAAATCTCTTCTAATCAAATGAATCAACACAATGTGTAAAAATAACTTGATGACATAATTAAAAAAAAAAAAAAAAAAAAAAAGGTAGTGGGGCTTCCAGGCACTTCGTGCCTTCTAGCCCTGAAGATGTTTAGTATAAATGAAGTCTTAGAGGACAAACATGACTATGAGTTTTGATATGACAAGATAGAATATGAGAGAGGTCCTATAAACCGGAGAAAGTGTTATATAAACATCTGTCATATTACTCAGAATATTATACAGAATTCAATAAAAATATATTTTAGGTGAAGAGGTGAGATTTCACCTGTTTTTTCACCTCATTTTTCACCTCTTGAATTTTCATGAATTTCATCGTAAAGACTTTGTCAAGATTTCATCGTAAAGACTTTGTCAAGATTTCATCGTAAAGATTTGTCAAAACTTCATCGTAAAGATTGTAACTCTGTAAAGACTTTGTCAAAACTTCATCGTAAAGACTTTTTCAAGATTTCTTCGTAAAGACTTTGTCAAAACTTCATCGTAATGAGCGTAAATCAGACAAAAATATATTTTAGGGTAGAAGGGTATATCTACCCCGTTTTCTACCCTCTTTTCTACCCCATATATGTACTTATGAAAAAGTATGTGTTCCATCTGTCATTTTACTCAGAAATTTACACCAAAATAATGTTTAGGTGAAGAGGTGAGATTCACCTGTTTTTTCACCTAATTTTTCACTTCTTGAATTTTCATGAAATTTACACAAAAAATAATGTTTAGGTGAAGAGGTGAGATTTCACCTGTTTTTTCACCTAATTTTTCACCCTCTTGAATTTTCATGAAATTTACACCAAAAATATACTACTAGGTCATTTACGAAGAAATCTCAACAAAGTCTTTACGATGAAATTTGACAAAACATAGACAAGAAAGTTCATGAGAAATAGATGAAGAAGTCTTAACAAAGTCTTTACGAAGAAATTCATGAAAATTCATGAGGTGAAAAAAGAGGTGAAAAAAGAGTGAAATCTCACCTCTTCACCTAAAATATATTTTGGTCATTTACGAAGAAGTCTTAACAAAGTCTTTACGAAAGAAGTCTTGACAAAGTCTTTACGAAGAAGTCTTAACAAAGTCTTTACGAAGAAATTCATGAAAATTCAACGGGTGAGAAATGAGGTGAGAAAACAGGTGACATCTCACCTCATATGTCCTTACTGAAAAAGTATGTGTTCCATCTGAAGTTCTATATACGGGTCTTCCAGGAGCTTTTCACAAAAATATATATGTTTTCATGTTTTGTCACTTTTCTGTCACTTTTCAGGGAAAAAATTTTTATTGTATAATAAATAGAATTTTACAAAACCACCGTTACCCCTTCTTGGAAATAAGAGTAGATGTAAAGATATTATATTGAGAGAACTTAAGAAACTACCGAATGGTCTAACATTTGTAGATTTGTTGCGTGGAAGTTTCTATATATCCCATTTGTGCCATATAATATTCCCAGATCAAAGATTATATGCAATGACTTCGACAACTATATGGACCGTCTCAAACATATTCAGACACAAACAATATATTGAAAGAGTTAAAAGAAAAGATACCTATAGGTAAGATGGAACGTATACCATTAGATAAAAAAAATATTGTAAGAGAGGTTTTTGAAAAAAGCAGAATATATAGACTGGGATAGTATATCTGCTAGACTATTATATAGTGGTGCTATAAGAGTTCATGAACATTGAAACACTTATGTCAAAGTTTTATATCTTAACTATACAAATGTTTTCAAAGAGGACATAGAAAAATATTGAGGGTATAGAGTTTGTGAGATGTCATTGGACAGAGTTGTATGAAAAAATATAAAAACAAGGAAAATGTTTTTTTATAGTAGACCCGCTGCCGTTCCTTTAACT